AGGTTTGGGGTTTTTTTTGATGGAATAGGGATGGGCTCCTTAGGTTTGTGAAGAATGGGTGACACCCTTGGGGACTGATGCTACTTCAGCTGAAATCAGTTACAGATTTCTTTTAGCCTTTGTACAAGAGAAAGACATTATCCTCTCTTAGATATGTCTGACCACTGCCATGATTACAAAGAAGAAGTGCCCAGTGATTTTGGTGAAAGTGATGGAATAGAAGGGGAAACAGTCATTGTACCACCAAAATAAGAATCAAAAATAGAAGGGTCTAATTGCAGACTATAATTATGACCACACTTCAAAAACTAGACTTTTTCTCATACTTTACATCATGCTTCACCATAAATGCCTGAATATTTAAATGTATACGCCTGGAATAAACCCCTAAGTTTTAAATTTTTTATTTTGAGGCAGGAAACACTAAACAAAAGGAGGTAAAAATCATGCATGCGTATTTGGCACTTCACAGGTCCAACCATACTTAATGCCCTTCATAAACATCTAATGAAAAATGAATTTATGTCACTTAGCCAAATTTATTTCTGTTTGCATTCCATCTTTTGAGATTTTTTTGGTTTCCATATTGCTGAAAGGCACAAAAAAATTCTCAAATTTATTCAAGCTGTTAGAAAAGAAATGCACACAGAACATTAAGTAGTTGCTCAAATGTTGCTGAGCAGTAAAATACTATGATAAAGTGGCATCTTGCTGTGTCTCTATTACTTCTTCAGCACTAAAATTAATTTATGATCAGTCATCAATTCATTTACATGTCATTTTATGCTAAATCTATCGTTGCTGATGAATGCATATCCCTAGATCCATTAAGCTAGAGTAAAGTCTGTGCTTTATAATATGACCCTGCTAATTGTTGCATTACCATTTTTATGAGATACAAAAAGTAGCAGTTTCCTATTTTCTGAGTACATATTTAATCCATGAAACACATTCTACCTATTAAATGCAATCTGTCTTAACTGCTTATAAAATAGAATTTTTTGCAATAGGTATCCCTAAGCAAATCAATATAAATATTGAGCTCTGCCATGGTTCATATGGCTCATGAAAATGATATTGTGCAATTTTCAAGAATTATTCCATTTGTTCTCAGACACAATGAATGAAAAACTTTTTCCACGCAGACAGTGATCAGTGATTCTTTTAACCAAGACCTAAACATGTCAAATAAGGGATATTCTTCCTTGCTGAGCCATATGGCCTACAGAGATTTTTATAATTTCAGATCTATACAATTCTATTGAAAAAAAAAATTGTTATCCATTTGCTGTGGCACTGTTTACAAGAATATCTCTCTGTTTATGTCACTTTGCACCAGTTAGGGAAAAGAGGGTTTGTTCTAATTTCCATGCTAGTTGATGGGTGTATCTCTCCCCTCAGATAAAATGCACCAGGACTGAAGATACAACAACTTGCACTACCAGCTTCACTGGTGGTGCAACAACTTGCACTACCAGCTTCACAGAGGGGAAAGAAAATCCCCAAACCATAATACTTAAATCTGAAAAAACTAGCCTTGTTCTTAGTGATTTCAGTGAGAGGCAAATTAATTTCTTATATGGTCATCACATGCAATTAATTAAATCTAATAAAGTAGAATAATATAACAGACTCTTTGTGATCATTCATGCCATAACTCTGCACAGCAATTCATTATTAAGGCAAACATTAAACATAAGTAAAAGAAAATAGATATTTCATTGTGTCTCCGAAAGCAAAAAATAACCCTAAATAATCGTGAATTAACAGTCAAGTGAGCAAAAGTTTTACCACTGCTTTCCAGGTCTTTCTTTTTATTTCTTTCTTTTTTTTAAAAAAAAAAGCAGAATCAGTGACTAAGTATCCTAACAAACTGGAAATGGAGAAAAACTTCGGCTTTAATTTCATATTCCATCCCACGAACATTCAAATCCAAACCTCCCTCCCCGAGTTCTCTTTGCCATATCTGGAGAATGTTAAGATACAGTCACTGTGCACTCCTCCTTTCTTTGCACTTTATTATACACGTCAACATTATGTCTCTGCCACCTGTGAAGAGAAAAGCTTAATAGCGCAGATTAAATCCTTGTCTGAATCTTCAGCAAGCTGTAACTAAAACTCGAGGGCCTGGAAGACAACTTGACTTTTAAACAGTTTAAAGCAGCAACACTGTGGTGTCAGAGGAATTTAGTAGTTTGCGCTTTGGCTCACGCAGTGCCAGGGTTTCCCCTCAGAGGATCCCACATTTTGGCACTCAGTGAAATCCTGGGTCTCAGCTCAGCACCATTTCAATCCAAGAGCATGTTAACAGTACAGGGTGAAGAAACTTGCCCTGCTCCCTGAACAGCAACTCTATTTGAGGGAAATCTGGACCAAGGGATGTCAGTATAGATTTCTCACAAACACCAAACTCACAAGGCACTTCAAAATGAACAGAAATATTGTTTCATCTGGGTCAGATATTCTCATTTGTCTCCATTTTCAAATATAATGTTTAGAGAAGTGAAAACATGGTCTAAAAATTCCTAGGAAAATGCTGGTTTAAGTCACCAAAGGCTCTGTGAAAAGAAGTAGCTTATATATTCTCAGTGCAATAAAACAATTTAGTTGTTCTACAGTATTTTAAAAGCAATCAAATTGAAGAATGAGAAGCAGCTTGGAAACAATGAAAGCAATTTGCTATACCCTCATTAACAAGAGTAAACGCAGCCTGGAAGAGTTAACAGAAACAGATAAACAAAAATTAAGATTCTCTTTTGGAAAAAAAAAAAAATCCCAAGTATAATAAGCAGCTTCCTTCCACCCCTAAAAAACCCCAAGCCCAAAACAAACCGTCCTAAAATCAACGTTTTACCCATGTAGTAAATGAGGAAAACAGAAGCAGTTTTGTTATTTGTATATTTTGCCATTTTACAGATCATTTAGACTAACACTCTGAGTGTATCTTTTGTAAGGCTGTAGTTGCCTAATTGTTTTAAGTCAATCTAAGCATTGGCTATATGCTAAAGGGGCAATCTATCATCCTGCTTCCCTTCCAGCTGCACATTCCCTTCCTGCAGTGCCAGTACACACCTTGCCATGCGGTGAACCAGATCAAGGAACAGATCCAGCTAGTAATTAAACAACCAAAAGAAAAAGCAAAAGGAAACCTTTAATTTTCACCTGGATGAGGCCACATCAAGATAGTGGTGGTGATGAGTGGGAGTGCATTAAATCACCTTAAGTACACTCCCAGCCTACATAATCAGGTTCTGCCCAATTTCTTCTAAAATAACACAGCAGGAAGTTTTTAACATTCCAATTACACTTTTAACACTCCAATAATACAACAATATTTATAAATATTATAAGAAACTTGAATGTTATTCATAAAAGGTTAAATTGTAATAAACACAGAAGTCTACAACTTGGAGCAGGAACACAGCTATTCCTTATTTACCCTAGGTATGGTGGTCCAAAATATCAGGTGAAAATGCAAATGTGAAATAATTTTCTGATTTACAGATACATAAACATTGGCATATTAATATAAACCAAATGAAAAAGATATACAAATCCAATTTTTTTTATTTATTGCTGTATTACCACTGCAAAACTCCTACTGCATTCCTAATGGAAAGACTTCTAAGCCATTAGTGAAATATGCAAAAATATGCAGAATTATAGCCCGAAGGAGATTATGCTGGAAATTCAAGCAAAGTGACTTAACATACTCATGCACTAATAAGTTAACCTTCTCAATTCAGGGATTTAAACTTTAACTCTATGGCCTTCAGTTGAATCTGGGTTTCAAATCACAGCAGCAGAGATACAATTCTTAAATCTTAATTAGATTGGTAAGCAGTCTGGCCCAAGGGTGAAGGAAAACCTGGAAAGTGGGATTAAACTACACACTATTTCATTCAACAAGGGAAAAGGAAGAAAATTTATAGGTGTTGATGCTCCATCACTGTCATATTTGCCCAGTGTTTTCAGAATAGCAATCTTTGGAATTTCAAAGGTCCAGAAGAATGAGATGGAATTCAGTGGCGCTATGGTAGTAAGTTGTACTGAACAAGTCTCCCTTAAGGTACAACTAACAATCAGTATTTGCCTGCTGAGATCAAAGACTGAAGCAGCACCCACTAGCTTTCATGAGCTATGGACACTGGGACATTTGGGACATTTGGGTCTTTAGTACCCCTGCACCTTATGGACACATTATATCATATAGAGGCCCAAGTTCAACATAAAGGGAAATACACTGATGCTTAAGAAAAGGACATTATGTATTTTAAAACCAAATGTCTTTCACTGCCTACATTTCTCCAACAGCCATTTTATTCATTCAGATCCTGTGCATTAGTTTAGCAGGGCTTTCTGGATCCCCTTTGATGATGATGGAGCTTTCCAAGGCATGTAAAGGGCAAGAAGCAGTGAGGGAAGGAGGGTCAGAATAATTAAATAGCTTTCCTGAAAAGGAACAATTACTAAATTCAGCAATACAAAGTAGGTTTAAAATACACATTTTCCTACATAAATGTTACATTTAGTCTAGAAATAAATGTTGTGGTGATCTAACTACACTTACTCTGAAGTCTTTAACTTCCTTACGTTCATCTAGGAAAGCATTTTCCCAGCAAAATATCTGAAAGTGCTTTAAGATAACATTTTTATGCTGCTTCTGATTTATGAAATATATATTCCTAAGCTGAGGTCTCCCCCCTCCTTTTTATGTAACTGCCTTGCTTCTCTAGTAGAATGAACTTTTCATGAAAGCTGGGATATAATTGAGTTTTCTTTCAAGTCTTTAAAGCTTTTTAAAATTCATGAATTTTCTTATCATTTTGCAGCAAAGCAAAGTATTCCCAAATCCTTCTTTAACTTTAGTGTTTAGCATTAACACATTTTAAACGTTACAGAAATAGAGTGGAATCAATTTTCACTTAGAAAGTATTGGACCGATGATGTATTTTGCTGTTAGGAACAAGTTGGTGTCACTGTTAACTGTGTTTGGTTACCTGTCACAGAGCTGTCTAGATTGTCCATACTGGAGCCTGGAGTATGTTCTAGACCTCTTAGTGGCCTACTGATTTCTACAGTTTCTTCCTCAATATCATCTTCATCATCATCCTCATCTGGAACATCTGTTTCCAAATCTGAAATAAGGTTTCCAGATACGTATCCTAGGGGCGGAACGGGAGCCTGAGGAGGTTGTGTATTGCTTTGGATGTGCCTGCACAAATAAAAAGGAAAAGTTATCAGAATGGATGAGACTTTGTACCCCACGGTCAACAAAATACACGCTTTTCAACAGATCCTGAAGTGGATTTACAAAATGTGATTGTTAGGTTAAACTCAAGAAAAGACAGTTCAGTTATACACCACAGCTTCTAATACCAGAGTACCTGCACACTTTCCAGTCTTAAATATACTTCTCCTCCTCTAGGATGGGGAAGGTCAAGACTGTCCTTTTACAGATGAGGAGCGATATACGCAGAGGCTGCATAAATCAGGTAGGAAACCCGCGGAAAAGCACAATTCTGAATCCCAGCCTAGCATTTAAGTGTGTCACCCAATATTCCACCTCGCAAATCACACATTGAACCAAACCTAAATTTCACTCCTTTCGCTCAAACAGACACAGTGCCCTGAAGCAGAAGTCACCCTAAGGAGGAGGAAATGGCCAGAAGGACAGGAGAAATTTTCAAGCCCAGTGAACACATTATCAGTGAGGCCTTTTGATTTTGCTTTATTCCAAGTAGTTTAATTGATTTAATTGCAGCAGTATTAGGGCATGCATGTGTGAAATTACTGTATGCAGCAGTCACAAATAAAAAAAAAGAAAAACAAAGATTAAAAAAACCACCCACAGGATAGCTAAATGGCCAAAGGCAAGCATGGGATTTGGAGTCTCATTTGCCTGGTCTCTGAGAGGATACAGAGGAAAACAACACCATCAGCTTTCAAAGCAGCATTCCCCACACCACAACAAGTACACCACAAGCTGTGCCAGGGGACCCAGGCATGACTGGCCTTGGCATAAGAGCATGCACCACGCTTAAAATTGCTAACTTAGGCAGGTAGGAATCCTTGGGTGAGCGTACATGAGGTGCCATGGCCTGATTCAAATCGGCAGCACTCTGGATGGGACCCAGAATTCTGCTGCTCTCTTGCTTGGACATCACTATAACAGAAAAAATTACAGCTGTCATGGGTTTGGTTCTGTGCTCTACTACATCTTCAATGAAAACTTTGTGCTGTATTATTGCCTACACTCAATGAGTACAGTAATTCTCTTTATTCATTGAGTTTTCCCCCTGCCCCCCATAATGCAAATCTATCAGATATGAGAATGTCACAGTAAATCTTATGTACCACTGGAATCAATCTCCACCTCTCTGTAGGTTTTAACTTATAGTTTATTCTGAACCCTATTTGCAGAGCAAATGCTTCCTTTTGGATATACAACCCCCTTCTGATTAGCAGTTCTTGAATACTTTTCTTCCTGGACACCAGGTTCTCAACTATGCAGTGTTCAAAACACTGTGCTAAAGGGCACTACCATCTAACTAACCCTCAATAAACAGTGTGATTAGCTCCCAATCAAGCAAAATGCTTAAGTATATGCTTAATGTTAAGCTTGTGATAGAACAATTGAAGTCAATTTCTCATGTACTTGTAGTTAAGCATATACTTAAGTGATTTGCTGGATCAAGGCCATAATGATTATGTACTTTTCCAGTAATCTCTAATGTGCTCTTTCTTAAATTCCTAGTTGTCTGTTCTCTATATTTCTCTGCTGTTACTCCCACAGTAACCTACTTGACAGGTCTCATCTTTCTGCTTTGCCTTCCCCTCTCTCTACACTGGACAGGTGAACTTTGCAAAAAGAAAACTAAGAAATCTCCCTTCCCAGTAAAAGCAATGGAGGACTTTCTACTGACTTTGAGCAGCAAATCCAGCCAAACACATATCCAGCCAAACAATACAAAAGCATTCAACAATTCCAGTGCACAAAAATCACTTGTATTTGCAACCCTCAATATTTACTCCAATACCTATAAGGTCTCAGAATGAAAAAAGTTATCTCCTCAATTTTTTTTTCCCCTATAGTTTCAGGCTCAATTACTGTGACCTTACCCAAGAGCAACATTAAAATCTGTATATTCCTAAACGCATTATGAAAGTTCATAATCAATTTTCATTTCTCCAAAGAGGGAGCAAGACCTTTCCTGTCAGCTGCAAGAGGCTTTGCTGCACCATCCTACTCCATTATCGGTGCCTGGACTGGAACCCGAGGTTTGTAGGGCGTAGAAAGGGTAACAGCTGCAAAATGCAGCAGCGAGTCACTGTGCTGGCAGGGTGTGCATCTGTGTGCTGGCTCAGAAGTCAGCTACCTTCAATAGGCCAGGTCTAGCTGCTGCCTGGGATTTGGGCCTGTCCCAAAGGCAGGCCGGGGTCCGTGCTTGGCAGCGTGGCACTGCAGCGGGACCAAAGTACCCTGTTGATTGAGTGCAGATTGCAGACAAGCCTCGAGGCTTCCACAGTGTCCAGGGAAAACAGCTGGCTTTGATTTGGCACCGCCTGCCTACCTGCCTGATCTATTTACGGGAGCTCAAGCTGAATAACTTTGTGGCTTTATTTACCAGCAAAGAAAGGCTGCTCCTCTGCTGGCAGTGTGCCATTCAGCAACTAGCTCTGCTCCTCTCCTCTGAGATTCACGGGCTTTGTCTGAGCAGAAAAGTTGTAAAAGGACAACTGCTGCTTAGGGAACATCCAGGAAGCAACTGACCTTCACCGTATCCCCAGCCTGGTGCACTTGACAAGTTCTTTTTTCAGTCCCTGAAGAGATTGCTTCTGTTTGTTTTGCAGGGGAAATGTTACTGTGGTATTTGCTTGCTCTTCCTTTAAATAGGCATAAAGCACTCTAAAACACTAGATCCATTTTGTAAATACTAACAACTTTCTTCCCACTGTTTCTGGGTTTTTCCTATGAATCAGAAATTCTCATGGTATTTCAAACTACAGTCAGAGATGCAAATGCTTCATTCTCATGTGATACCGTGTAAAAGCTGCTCTAGTGCTATTTCAAGTGACTATCATTATTTTCAATGATTTTCAGGAATTTAGAATCTCATTATTTTTGAAAATCCCAGAAAATTCATATCTTTTGCTAGCCTGAAAAGAGAGTACTCTTGAATGCATAAAAGCTGTCAGTAGGTGGGTGTTAACTACTTGAGCATATGTAAAATTTCAGAGGAACATTGTTTTTACATGCTTTTAGACAAGATTTAACTTATTACCAAGCACCTACTAATGTTTAAGGCCTTCACACTCCAGACATAGTTTTACTATTTCTTCTTCCATTTTACTTCTTCGGAAATATTATTGAAACGTTGTTAAACGTGGTCAATATTTATGTCATAGAAGAATAAATGATGATGATGATGATGATGATGCTTTCTTTTCCCAGATCACGAGTGCCCCCTTCAAACACTTACCATGTCTGCTTTGCTATATCAAACTGGTAAGCCCTTGTTAATTCATCAAGGTGAGCTTGAAGCATTGGCTGCATCTCCTCTCGTGGGGAAGGCGTGAGGGTTGCAGTCGACTGTTGCCCAAAGGAGATGGCAGGTGATGAAGCTACTCCTCGGACAGGAGGAGTGGGAACACGATCATCATCTTCTTCAAGCTCATCCTCCATGCCCTGATGTAGGTAGGTCTGAACTGGCAAAGGCGGACACCAACCATCACTGTCGTATCTAAAATGAAAACCAAATAAATTTAGCAAAACTCATCTCTGCAACACAGTAGAGGGTGTAAAAGGCAGGTGGGATTTCTGCTATAGCTGTAACCCTCACATGCAGTGGAACTTCTTAACATTTAATGAAAATAGGGTCATAATTGCTTAAATTGTCCTTAACGAGTCAGTTTAATTTTTCCCACAACAGCAAAGCAGCTCGAACAAGAAGCGCAACAAAAAAATTACTGACCCGTTATCACATTTGTTAATGGTGATTAGATAATGTTACACCACAATCAACAACAGCAATGAACTAACTCGCTTCCAGGATCATTAATCTAGGAGAGTGTATGAAGATTGACCTAGACACGAAAATAGCAGCATTCTTAAAAGGTAGAGCAAGCCTTACAGAGTTGCTCTTATGCACTTATTTAGTTCCATCCTCCCCTTCGTGGATAAATTTACTCTTTGTTTCTATTTTGAAGCTACACTTTGCTCATAAATGCTGGTCTTCCCACACTGCAAATATGTATCTTCTCTGATGTGTAATACATTCATGTCACAGCAGCAGTGACCTTAAGCATATGCTGTGTCACAGCACCAGCTGATAAGGTACATCTGTCAGCACCCCACCTCCTAACCAATCTGTACTGGGACTCACCTAGACACTGCTGAATTTCTGAACACTTTCAACACATCTGCCCGAAGTAAGTTAAAAGATAAACAACTACCAGTATTCTTGGACACTAAATTCTTCTCTTTTCATATATAAGAGGTGTTCTCATAGGTGTTTGTGGTTCAATTTTTGCCTTATACCAAAGCTGTAAGGGGTGATGCTACATCTGATCAGGGCTAGAAACAGAAGTTTTATATTTAGTTATCACTTTTTATGTAAGCTTCACCAGCAAGTCAATCGTTTTCAGTCTCTCTACTCATCACAGGACCTTTCAATTCAGTGTTGTATTACAGTATCATCTCGGGATCCTGTCCCTTGGAGACAGTGGCATCACTCAAGGTGTACAGGCCTTAGTGACTGTGGTCATTCCCTGTGTATTATCTCCCCAGAGTAATTCCCTAATCTGAACACAACTTCAGTTGTGCACAGCTCTGCTGACGATCACACCACTCAAATCTCAACTGTCTACTTTTCCCATCTTCAAAACACCCAGTCAGTCAGCAGGTCCCTTGAGCATCAGCATACATTTCTTCTTAACTCCCAGTGTATTCCAAAATAACTCAGGATAGACAGCTTTTTTTTTTTTTTTCTACAGGCAACCAGACAACCAAAAGCTCTCACAGCTCCTTCACTGTCAAACCATCTCACTCTCTAAAGGCCATTTTACAAGCATCATCTACTAAGTCACTTTATCTTCTTTCCACCTTCAAGGACTGGTGACAAGGTCCTTTTTTTCTGCAATGCAGGCAGGCAATGTGTTGTGCTACACAGGTAATTTCTCAAACCAGTTTAAGAATACTCTTTTAAGGCTTCTGATTCGGAAGGAAGGAACTACCAATTTCCCCGAGAAAAATTAATTACTGTCAATTTTCTCAAGTGTGAAGCCAGGTTATAAAAATGGTGGGAACACTGAGATGGAGAAGTTGCAAAACCTGTATTATGAACAAACATTTACTTTAAGCAAAACTCATAGATTTCTAAAATTAACTAGGCTATCGTTTCCTTATTCAGACTCTTTTTAAAAGCACAGATTCTGGATAGCTAAAACAACTTGATCTAACCATCCAAAAGTCTGTGGAAGACATATTTGGTAATTAACACTGATACTACTTTAAATACATATGCAGATATAACAATATATAGATACACAAATACATGTACGTGTACAGAGGTGAAAATAAAGGCTGGATCTTAACCCTTGGCATTTAGGAGCTTTTCACTGTTTGATCATTACCATTTTCAGAATACAGAGATTTAAGAAAATGTTACATGATACATATTCATCCTAAGCAGACAATTAAGATATGGTCAGCTGTAATTTCTCTCTCCTAACAACACTCACTCATGACATTTGCACCCAAGGCTGAAGGGACCATCCTAACTCATGCCACTAAAAATGCAACAACTCTTTCACTTACTTTTGCTCTCTCAACCTCATGCTTAGGTATAATGTCTTCTACTTTAAAAGGGACAGGGCAAAAAGGTCCTCCCTGGTGACTTCTCAGTGATGAATAAATGAGCTTTGGAAGTGCTCCCCTTTTGACCCTTCTTGCTTCAAATCCCCAAATGTTCAGTTTGATAGTAAAAAGATTTCTCACTAAAAAGATTTCTTAGTGAAAAGATTCTGCACAAGTACCGTACCTTTACCTAAATTTTGTTTGAAATGGAAAGCAGCCTAAACCTGAAGTTTGGGACATTGAGATTCAAGATTTGAAGTACAAGAACCCTTGCCTTCATATTGTAAGATGTCCAAAAAAGCCACAGGTTCTAACCTGCATTTAGAGAAGGGAAAAAAAAAAAAAGCCTACAAGAAAGAGCTAGCAAACTTAGGAGACTACATAGCAACTACACCTCACATAAAAGATTTAGTTACAGAAACTTCCGGTACCAAAAGAGTATTGGTCACATCCATGTTCTTTTTGGTTTTCTGAGTAAATCCGATGTGGAGAAAATGCAACTTTTTTGAAGTACTCTTATTAAAATCTAAGCACCTTAACTACATTAGAGATCTCTGACTGTAATTTCATTAATTAAGCCTCTATTAAGTTCTGGTTAAAAAACATGACTCTATATTTCTAATAGTTTTTATTGTATTCTCAGCACTTTCCTCCTATAACAATCTTTTGCTATTAAAAAACTTGATTCGTTACACTGATAGATTTTTTTCCTTCAAGATAAAAAATAAAGGTGATGGATAATGGGCACATTCCATAACAGCTCTGTTTCATTACACACACAGTTGCAATAAAGGATGTTTCCCTCCCTAGGCCTCACCAGAAAAGATTTTTTAATGTGAAAGGTATTATTTTCTTAACTTTTTCTAAAGAAAATACGTATCAAATATATTGACATCCAGCAGCTAATATTCCATTTTAAGGTGCAATCAATAGCAAGAAATAGAAATAGTCAAGTAAAAATATGCAGGCTGCTTTTACTGGGGTTGGTTCAAGAACATGCATAGTATTAGCAAAAAATCTAAATAGATGATAATGTCTAAATAATGAGCATTTTCTTACTGTCAAGTTTAGATAAAACCAAGCAAAAGCATCTACTCTGCGTCTAATTAGTTATAAAATTAAAACACATTGAACTTGTCACAGACATCAAAACAAACCAAGACAAACAAAACAGTTTAAAAAATGTATTGTTGTTCTGGGTTTTTTTCACCCACTATGTACACGTTAAAGCAACATAAAGGCCCACAGTCTATGATTCACTCCATTTTAGCATGTTGAAAAACACAGAAACAGGATCAACCCCTGAATACAGAACAACCATTAGTATTGGATACATCCTGAGAAAGTATGGGCATTGCAGATCTGTTCTTCAACAAAGGTGGCTGCAAATTACAGCTCCAGACTGATACTGGAAGTTTAATCTTCAAATTTTTTGTGTGTTTGGTAAAATGCATATTACGAGGTCAAGCTACAACCACTGTTAAGGAGGCACTACAAAACCCAGAGAAGAGTAATTCAGAAGATAATCAGAAGAAAAACTAAGTCTGAATTGTTGTGAATGTGGAAGGCTGGTGATTACCTTATCCTTAAATAACCAATGTTGTCTTGGTGACCAACATCATTCCTTCCAGCTAAATTACAGATACTTTATGCAACTGAGGAGTCAAGCCCTGTGTCACAAGGGATTTTTTTTATAAGGTATTTCCGTTTACCTTTTATGCTATTTCATTGTTCTGGAAGAAAATCCAAGTTTTTTGCCTTCCATAGCATAATTGTTTTAGTGAAATGGCTGCAAATGTGTTTTAAGGATATAAACTGATATAGACAAGTATTATATTGTAAAACCATTTTAAATTTATTTTAGCCTTTTATAACAGAATACAGAACATCATGATTATATGCACTTTTTGCCTTGAGATTTAAACAACTCTTACAATCAATAAGGATATTAATTTTCCCTTATATTTGCTTTGAAATTCTAACTCTAATAGAGCCTGAATGGGCCTTAATTCTAAAAAGAATTCCACTGACTAACACAGTTAGTTCTTACTCATTTTAAGAGTTGAAGGACTTGGTATAAACTCAAATAATATGTAATTGCTCTAATTTTCATTATAAAACTAGTAATGATCAATGCTTCATGCTTACAAAAGAGATAACACCTGAAATATTTTTATTCAGTAAAGCTATTACAATGTTTTTTTAAAACATGTTTCATCCTTAGGAAATATTGTTCAGTCCATGCATTTAAACAGGCAGAAATTTGTCCCTGACAGAACAATTATTCTCCAAGGTTCCAACAGAACTGACCACAGTAAACTATTTTTCTGTATACTCTGATTTTCTTCCGGAGTTTGATAACCTGGCATGTAATGTAATTACACTTTATAAAAACCATTATGTAATTTTTGTCTGGGCAGAAAATGTCTCTTTCCTCTCACTTAGCACTTCTTGTGTGATTATGTGTCCTTGAGAACAACTTTAAGCTATACAAAATAAGTGGAAGGTTGTAGAAACTTAAGAGTTGTTTAAATGGCAACAACAAACAGCCTATAATTAGCATGCCTTCCTCAACTGTGAAATTTCTTCTAAAAGCCGATGAGAACATTATTATCCATTCGTTGATCTTCAAAAAATAATCCAATTTGGTGGTTTTGGTTTTTTTTTTTTTGTTCTGTTGGCTCTAATATTTTTAAACATCAAAGCAGTGAAAAAACACAAAGAGTCAGATTATGTCATCCTTACTCACTCTGAGTCCCATCAGCTGCATGCAGTCCCAACAGAATTCAATTAAGCTACCTGTGAAGTGAGATGCTTCTCAGCATGGGAAAGCAGTGAAGCTCTACATGATGATAAAGCAAGGTCACTTTTGTTTCCACCTTCAGTCACTCTCCAGAGAAGCTATTCAAACATTTCTCCTTCCTAGCCTTGAATAAGTCTACAGGATAAGGTGCTCTTTTACTTTTGTTTTTTTTTTTTAAATTAAACAGAATAATATTGTCGCTTAGCAAAATTAAAAAATAATAACAAAACAGGCCTCATCTCTGCAAACCACAGATTTTTCTTCAAAAGACAAAGAAAAAAAAAATTACCCTGCTTCTTGCTGATCCACCCCATAGTGTTCCAGCTCTGTGCCTGGAAGTGGCTGCACAGGAGGGGGTGGGAGGGGAACACTGGCCCAGTTTGAACCATTACTTTTCTGGGGCTTGGCAGTATTTTTGTTTTTCTTCTTTTTCCCTCCTTTGCCACCTGCAAATCCAAAAAGAAAAATAAAATGTTAGAGATGTAATGTGGGAAAAAAAGCTAGCTACATTTACATTTCTTTGAAAAAATTCTGATTCCAGATGGCATGCCCCGAAAAAGAAGACGTATTTATATCTCAGCAGAATCAGCATCAACGTGCTAATGCTGTCACAAGGTTATAAGTAATAATAGAATGGAATGGAAAAATATTCTGAATATTTGCTGAAAATCACTTCTTTTTGAAACTCTGTACATTTGCACCACAGTAGTGCACAAACAAGGAAAGAAATGTCTTTCTGTATCAGAAATATATTTCCTGATATTATTCATCTGTTCTTTATGACTTCTTGAATTCACTCCTAGATAAAAATATAATAAAACATAGCAAATTATTTCAAATGTCAGAATCCAGTATGACTTTAACAGTTTTCCATAATCACTTTCTGTGGAAAACATAGAGGTTGAGGACACCATCTAAAAAAGTTGTTGTTAGATTCAATATCTTTCAGCCAAAATGACAAGACTAACTTGTCAAAACAAAAGAAACAGCGTTTTTTTAAAAGATCAGGAAGTCATGTACAATGTTTTAGGACTGTTTCACAGCATTCAAATATCTCGTGCCACTATGAAGAAGAGGTTCTCTTTCTGATATGTAACTCTAATGGATAAGGCTGGCAAAAACGAAGAGAGCAATGCATTTTGTTTAGGCCCTCTGCTCTTCTCTTATTGTCCTTATATCTGCTTCTCCAGCTGAGACACTTCCATTTGTGAGAAACTGATCTTACAGAGAAAGCTCTCATCCCACTTGCTTTTCTTCTTTTATTTTGCTGTGACTTCTTTTTCTTGTTAGGAATTCATTAAGAGGAAGAATGGCACAACATTTTGAATCCCTTGACTGCTTGGAGAACCATCTATTTTTTGCTGTTTTGTTGTGGCTTTCAGACTCTTTGGACTGCTGTGTGGAGGAATGGTTTGTCACATGCCTTTTCAGCGGGGTACCCAGCTGGCCATCACTCATTCCTTTCCTGTTTGAGAGAGCGCAGTCTAATCCATCCTACTCACTGACATCCCTTGTTGATTTATAAGGATCGGTTATGAAAAAAAAAAAAAAGTAAAAATGAATCAATGACTCAAAAAAGTCACAACTGACTTGTCAAGTGTGCACTAGCAGGCACCACCTTCTTTGCCACTGCTCTAGATTTATGCACAGAGGAATCCAGAAGGAGGTGTGATTCTAGCAACAGAGACAAGCACATGTCATGGGATTTTTTGGGAGACAGTGGCTTTCTTCTGTTACCTCCAAATGTCAGCTGGATGAAAACAGGAAAGGATAGAGAGGGAAGAAAAAAGGTGATTCTGTGACTCAGAAGTAGCTGTCTCCTTTCACCTCCGGTTGTGCCTGCTAGAGACAGGCAACAAGTTCAGCAAGGTTTCTAATTGGCCTGACTGCACATTGCAAACAAGACTTTCCTTTCCAGTACTCAATTCCAGATCAGAGCTCTTCCTTCTTTTTCTTGGAGGGACACATAGTAAATTCCAGCCAAGATCCTGTTATTCACTACGTGTGAACTGAGCCGATATTCCCTCTATTAGGACACAAGACTCCTTGTGGGAGAGGGAAGCTTTCTTGAAAAGGGAAGGAACATTTCAAATGATGAAAAGAAACCCCAGTGATGGTGGAGATAAAGGAACAAATACATGAACCTTCTGGAGGGAAAATGGAGCTTTCAAAGCACAGGTAAGGCAAAAAGTGGATAAAGAGACAGGGGCATAGAACAGTGTAAAGGAAGTAGGTTAACTTAAACTCGTGGGATGCGGGGAAATTTTTGAAAACTCAGCATAAGTAGAGCTAAGGCAGGAGGGGCTGCTTTAGGAGAAAAGCACATGCATAAGAGTGTGTGTGTTGCAGGAGGATTTAAACTAGGAATACCCAAAAAAGGGAAATGTAGAGAACAACTTCAGCTTAGAGATTAATTGAGGTAGTGAGGAAGATTTTGGAAATGTAGCATCTTGATAACTTTAGGAGACTAGTACAATAGAAGTTGGATGTGTGGGGTGCTAATATGGAGTCACTCGAAATCGGGGGGTTTCAGAGTGAAAGGTTAAAGATAATGGAGTTATTAGAAAGAGTGAAGCAGGGAGACAAAGAACTATTTAGATTAAGAAATCAAATATGAGAACTCCAAGGTCATTACTAGCAGGGAAAGCAGCATACACTGTATAGTTGGGCAGGAGATTTCTCTTCTGTCCCCACAGGCAGAGTTACTCCACTGTCACACTAGTGGAACAGACACCTAATACATAGTGCTTGGTGTGTGTTTGAAAACTGATGCAGCAAAGCCTTGTTTCCCCATAGCAATGATGCTTGATGTTTCAATGTCTCCTCACACTGAAATTCAATTATATTGTTTAAATCTCTAGATGAATCAGGCCCTGGAAAAAGAATGTGCCAGTTGGGCTGATGATCATAGCTTTGATATAATCTGGGAGCTGTGCAAAGTACAGCTACAAAATTTCCCTGCCTCATAGAGCAGTTGAGTTTTTAGCTATTTTTCATTCCACAGTGGGATAGGATTTCTCATGATATTCATTTAAGAGAGACAGAAACTTAGTCAGAATAATAAGTAGTACTTAAAGTACCAACCAAGGAAGTGAGAGAACAAGTCCCTGATCACCCTGATGGGGACTACATAACCAAAGCTGGTCTCTGACTCCGATGCTGCTTTAATTATCAGACTATTTGAAGGTCTCTCCCAGTTTCTTGTGTATTACAGACATAATTATCCTGTATCAAAGGCATAATTACTGGGCAAGGGAGAGCAAAATACTGACTCTGCACTCCGATAATCTGACACTGAGCATTGGGGCACCCAGGTGTGAGCTGCCTTGATCAAAACAGGAATGCCCTGGCCATAGAAAGACTGAGCTGAAGTTTCCCCATGTCCTCAGAAGAATTATTTCAAACTGACAAACACTATGCAAAATATGTTTCACTTGAAATATTTGATCAAAATCCAGCTTTTGATTAACTGGCATTTTCCAAGGAAACTTCATATTTTCTGAGAAAATTCTTAGGCAGCCATAGCTGTCAACATATCTAAAGTGTGATATTGCCCTCTGATAACTGCCACATATGTACCTCAGCACATCAATTTCTGCATTTGCATGCAGCCTGGAGAGCAAGCTGATTTCCTAAGCTACTTGCCAATACATCTCACATACAAGGAACAAGAACTTTTCTTGCAGTATTGTATGAACCTCGCTCCCAGATCCCTCTCTGTCAATGCCATGAGCCTGTTTCTCAGTCTCACTCAAATCAGCTAATACTCCCCCTTGAGAACACAAGACTTGCAAACACATTTGGCTATTTGAGCTATGGGCCAGTGATTATAGGCTTCTAATCTCAAGATTCAATTTGAATAGTAATTTAAATTGACACAAAGAAGTAATTTCTAGATTTGGTCTGTTACTGTTACAATTGTTCCAGCTTAAAGTGGAAATTCAAAAGGCTACAGATATAGAATGAATATCAAGGTTAAGTCCCTTCAGCTCTCTCATATTTCAGTTAAGGGAATTCAGAGGTTTTCTTTTTAATTGCTGCCTTTTCAGTTTTTGTTTTGAAATAAAAAAAAAAAGACGGTTATACATAACATGAGCAACAAGTAAGCAAAATTAAAGAAATCAGGAAAAAGGTGTGTTTAAATATAATACACAACCACATGTACTACAGTCATTTTCATCTGATGAAAATGCATCATGTTTCCAATAGAACATGCAGCATACACATAAAATTTACATCCTGTTTGTATGCAGGCTTGGCACAATTTGTTGAAACCCCAGTCATCGTTCAGGGCCCTACAATTATTTCTGAGCTGCTTCACTGAAGAACAGCATCTAGAAATAGCTCGTGGGAGTGGGGGATCTGTTAAGCACTCAACAAAAATATTACTCTCCTCATGACGTTCAGTGTGGGGAGGCCTGTAATCTGAGGATGGATGCAGAAATACATTTGCTCCACAAACTGTGCTGTCAGGGAAGGGATGTGACAAGGCAAGGCTGGCAATTGCACCGACAAACACCACCTGGGAGGAATCTCCAGTTATCTCCAAATAGGTTTTGCCAAAAAGCTTTTTTTTTTTTTTTAAGTAGAGGCCCATGTGACAATGTTCTCTGCTGTTCCAATGAAACTTCCTATTTTCCAGTGTTTACTAGCGGGCAGGCACTTTCATGGGAATTCTCAACCTGTGCCTGGGAGGTCTTTCCGCCTCCGCGGCGAGCCGCTCGCCAACACCCCTCCGTCCCTCACTCCCCTGCCCACGGCGGAGGAACCAACCTGAGAGGCTGCCACTCCTTTCGGAGCTGTTGTGGGAGCTGGTGGTGCTGAAATCCTGTGACTGGTTGTGTGGCAATCTATTAGCCAGTCCCTCAGCCACCCGGTAGTCAGGGATGTAAAGCAAGGCTAAGGGTTAAACGGCAAAGGTCACAGTGGCATCGTGGGATTAGTCGACAGCACAAGCACATGCAACACATGCAGTTAGCAAGTCAACAGCAGATGCGGTGGGGTGGCAGTTTTAACTCACTTATTTTTAAAGGCACACCTAGCCTAGCCTGATGGAGGGCAGATGGCTTGGTGATTAGCACAGGACAAAGAGGAATAAAAGCACAGGACGACGTGTTTTGTGATTGTATGACATTCAGCGCGCATGCAAGGAATGTTAGCATTAGTTAAGGTAAATATGAACAGTATCTCACACAACTAAAAAGAATGTTCTAATTCATGCACAGATGATACAGTACAAAGCCAGGGTCTCTGGAAAATAAGAGCTGTAATTACCATTGTTGCCTTTGCCTTGGTCTGGGAGAGAGTAACCAAATCCCATCAGGTCATTTTTTTGCTGAATTGAGCTTTTCCACTGAGGATCAGGTAAATCGACAGCCAGCTCATGGATGCTGTTGGAATGCAGTATCTGGGTGGTGGCATATGGTGTAGCTTGTGTTATTTGGCTGGAACTGTTGTAACTGGTTTTCGTGGTGAAGTCGATGCTGCTGTAAATGGCTCCATCAGAAAGCATAGTAGCAGTTTTATCTCCTTGCCCTGGCACTGGTGGCAGCACATCTGTGGTGAACACAGGGGAATGAAACAAATCATTGATGTACACGAAGCCTGAAAGTATCAAGGTTTAAGATGAGAAATAAATGTGTCATTTTGCACGTTTGCATTTCAGCTGAGACAGGTCCATGAGCCAACGAAGGGAAGATGATGTACAACCATCGCCAAGCTATCAGCATCTGTGACAGGCCTACCACTTGTCCTTCACGTCTCACTGCCTAAAACCATCTTTTTTTTTTTTTTTCTCTCCATACCTTCAGCTTGAAAGTGAAGTTTGGAATATTTCTTTCCTAAAGAATGTTTTCAATTGTTCATTCTATGTCAGAACCAATGAAGCTGTCTGGGTTTCAGGGAAATGATGAAAGGAGAGAATTTACAAATCATAGAGGGAACTTTCTGAGAAAATATGTAGAAAAACTCTTGTATGGATGCCAAAGCCCTCAAAGTAATTTTTTAAGGGCATCACCTTGATTTCCTTGAAGTTTTGTGCATCAGCTTATCTAATTTTCTTTTTGACATTTCTCCTTTTCCAAAAAGAAAAACATGACAAGACCAAGTTGTTCCTGGTATGTGAAAGAAAATCTGTTATTCTGAAGGGATTTAAGTGAATCAGTCCCTCAAAATGGTAAAGCAGTGTTAATAACGGAGAACAACTTGTTCAAATACTCCAGTACATTTACCTGAAGAACAGTACAACACATTTAACTAAATATCTGTTGACTTTTCTGCATCTTTTGAATCATAACACACAGTGTAGTTTATATATTTAATCAGATAGATTGGCAATCTCTCTCCTTACTAAACACTAAAGTGACCTTTGTTGGTGGAATACTAGATCTAGAAACTGAGGTTACTGATGTGTGAAGAAATCTAATGATGACTGGCATGATGTTCCAAGGAGAACCACAGCTCAGCAGATAATCCTTTTCCTTCTCTATCTCAGAGGTCAATATATCAAATGGTACTATTTTTACAATTTATTTAGACTCTGAAAAGTTGAATCAATTCTGGGATGTACTTGTTAAAAAAAATTTTAAAAGCATCATTTATATTCCATTTTCTTTCTACAGGCAGATGGCAGATATGGATTCCAACTGTTAGATCACACTTGAGATAATGCACACTCCTACAGTGAGGATGTTCACATCCCATTCTAGGGATCACAGCCAATTTGGATATACCTTGAGCCCCAAAAAGAAAAGATGATTCTTGCACCTAGACAAGGGCTTAGGCTCTGTTGGGGGTTTTGTGAAACCTCAAGGAATACAGCTGTTCTCTCACTGTCTCAAAGACTTATCCAGCAATGAGCTGTGACACCATTTTCTCCTCCCATTATTTTGGTTGGTTTGTTTGTTTTGGTGTGGTTTGGTTGTGTGTTTTCTTTTTTTTCCCTGGGATGAACATTTAGATCACAGAACGATTTTCTGTTACATTCATGTGTGCAACAGTGAATATTTTAGTATGGACCCTATTAACATCTGCAGTCTCAGGGCAGCAACATAATACTAACAATAAATACACCAATAACAAGTGCTCAGCAGAGACACTGCAGAAACAGAGATTAAATTTGGGTCTATCAGCATGATCTGGTTTTGCAGACAACAGGGAAATGGACACAATCAAGTATTTAAAAGATCTTAATTGTATTAACTTATAACTGCAGATAAGTTGTAAGTGCAAAAAAATTACAATTAATGCAAACTACAGCTCATATTTCAAAATCAGGTTTATTACCATCTATCTGCACACATGCAATGTGCTTTCTAGGGGCTGTACACAAACAGAAAGGCATCTATGTCCAAATACAGTATGAGATGTGAGAGACAAATGCAGTCCATCTTTCTTTCATCCACAGTACGAAGATTTTTCCTTTCCACAATTGGTTTCGTCAAAGTATAATGGCTTGAAGTTTAGTAAATAAATTCTGTTGTTGATGTATAAAGTGAAGCAAATTCAGCTCAACCTGTCTGTGTTGGATTTGCAGACTTAGGGAAGTAAAAACTATCTAAATGCTCATCTCTCAAGTACTCAGACATACATCTGTCTTTTAGAGCACATTTCTGGCAAGAATGAAGAGGTATCATCTCTATACAGTCACTTTAAAACGGAGAACGATACATTGCACACACTTGAAAGGAAAGTTGCATAGCTCTCCACCAGCCAAGAACTTTCAGTCTTTCTTACTAATAAGCTGAGGTTCTCCAGACATTCTGGGAATTTTCAGTACAACCATGGATTACTTTTTTGACCTCAGTGAGATGTATGCATTAAGCACTCAAAGAGTTATTAAATTGCCGTTTTACAAAGTGCCATAATCACCTACTTAAAGTCAAGTGTGATTTTCCCACCAAGCTGTCATAGCAAAAAAACCCACAGTGTACATTTCAGACCTATGTTGAACACGCATTTCCCACTGGATGCTTTCCCCAGAACTCTCCAAAATCCAACTTGTTTTGTAATTCTTGAGATAAATGAAATAGCGCCGAAGTACTTCCAGAGGGAAGCTCTTTCTTGCTGCCTCAGGAGATACAGTACCATTTTGTGGCCTTACATGACTCCAGTTCCAACCTGTGCTTCCCACTCACAGCCTTGCTCTCACATGCCTATCTGGGACATAACACGGATCTCACTTTTAAGGGCAATGTCAGAACTGCTTGCCTCAGCTTCTGACTTTCCAGTGATTGATTGGCACTTTACTGTTTTTAAAATGCTTACAGACCTTTTATATTATCATAGATCTTTTAACCAGTAAGAGTTCTCTCTGTAATGTTAATATTCTATATATATATCTGTTGAAAGACATCTGACTTTTAGTCCATCTTTAATGCAGAAACATCCAATCTCAACTACCGAAACAGATAGGGACAAGTGGTCCCAAATCAGCCAGAATAAAATTGTGAGCTCAACTGTAAAGATCATGGGTGGAATTAAGCTGCTGAATTTCAAAATGTAACTGTTTTATCTCTTGCACAAATTTGGACCTCTGCCTCATCCACACTGAGGCCAAAAACTTCAAAACATGCTTCCAATTTCTGTCATGTAGAGCCAAATGCTAAAAGAAAACGGTAATTTTTCTGTATTATGTGAGCTTAAGAAAAGATGGAAAAGTACTGAAGGGTTTTATTTTCAAGATATTCACAACAAAGAACCTGGTAGATATTCAGTTGCCTTCTAAATATTATCAAAAGTTTTGCTTACTTTTAAATAGTTTTGTATGACAAGAGCTTTACAACATTTTTATATAGAATATAAATCTAGTGTGTTTTGTTGTAATTTGAAGTCACAGTAGTCAAACCACAGGCAGGAGACTTTGCATGGGAATGTATAACTGATATGAGGGATGATTTTCAGAAGCAGGTTCTGGTACACTTCAAAACCGAATTCTTTTCACATTTATCACTTTGATGGTTTTATAGATTTTTTTTTCATTTTAATGCATTTTTGATATATAAGGTTTTCTTGATTTTTGTTTACCTATTCATGTCTTATTTATATGTTCATTTACATTAGGAAGTCTTGTTCTGAACACCACTATGCAGAACTAGCTGTGCTATCACAGAAACCAAGGGACTAACAGAGAGATGTGAATATTACTAAGACTTTTCAAATTCCCATTCTTGAAATTCCCATTTGAGTAAAATATTTGAAAGAAAATAACCCCTCTAAAGGTTCATCATCGTAATAATAAATCATTACCTCATCTCCCCAAAGGTCCTCCCTCAATTCAAAACGGAAGTAAACCCATGAAAAAATCTAAATAGGTCCCCTTTGTATATTCTTTCCTCCAAAGTGAAAGAAAGTTGGTGACTTTCCTTAATTCTTGAAGAATCCATAATTCTTCATGGATATGTTTGAAACAGAGAGCAGGCCCTCAGTGGGAAGAGGATGGGTAAGGTGACAGCAACAATGTTCTCCTGTTCTGCTGAAGGAACATCCTTCCTTCATCCCTCCAGTTTTCCTCTGCTCTTAAGGACATCTTTTTTCCCTGGCTATATTCCCCTGCCCAGCAGATTGCTTATCTCCACACAAAAGGGAATGAGGTTGAGCAACAGATACATTTCTCTTTAGACCATAAGCAGACCCTGTCTCACCACTGTGGGGTAAATTAAAAACTAGACCTACCTTTTAAAGAAGTAAAAAGCAACAGAGCAAAACTAACATTTTAAAGTAAATTTTCAGTCAAATCTAGAATCACACATAGAACTACAAGGATAAAAGCATCACACAGTATTTATCATAAATGTTAACTAATGGGAGCCTATTGTATACTATATGGTGAAATAATAAAAGGAAACCTACCTCCACGTCCAAAATTGCCAAGATCATTGGGTCCACTAGTGCTGTTGTTTACTGGCAGACTTGTGGCAGGCCAGGAGTCTGCAAGCCAAGGATAACTGGGGTCACTTGCATTCAAGAGACCTGGTCGACTGAAGCAGAATAAGAAAAAGAGATATACATACAAATAGATACATGTATACTTAAAATTACAACATCTGTGAGACAACCAGTGATCAAACAAGCCGTATCACTGTTCTCCTAACACCACAGGTAACTAACAATTTAGAAGACTTTAATTTATTTCAATTTAAAATTGTGTAGCCTTGGATGATTTAAAGACCTTGAGCAGTTAATTAAGGTTATATACAAATCAACTTTGTCAGTAGAAGTGGGACTAGGCAGCCGTCGTGACTCTGCCAGAATCCAAATGAACTCCGTTGTCTGTGTGAAACAGGAGTTAGGCAGCACCATCACAGGATCCTACAACAGGGCTGCATGATAAATTACCACCTCAAGGGAGCCATCACTCAAACTGATTGCTCCATATCAGCCATTTCCAGGACTTTGGGCTACTATTTCTTCCTTCCCTTGCATCCCAAATGCATGCCTGTCATCTACAGGCTGGTAACTCTTTCTTTGAGCACTCTTGGATGGTTTAGAGGCAAACAGGTTTGAGTAGGATTAATGGAAAGTCCACAGCTATCTCTATCTGCCACTAAGGCATGGCTTTTATATCCCTCTAATTCCCAGCTTTGAGAGCAGTACTAAACAGCGAGCATGTGAAAGAGAAGGCACACTCGGGCCATAAGGTGCCATATCTCTCTCACCCCAGGATAAACAGGGAAATTTAGCAAGGCAGGTGGATTGTTTGTATTTGTATTTAACAGGGAAAACAAATAATTTCCTGCAGACACCCCCCCTTTCCCCAAATGAAAACAAAAAGCCATCCGCAGTTCTGCAGCTTTTCTAGGTTATTAAAGCACTCATGAAGTTGGAGCAACATCTCCGATCATTGTACTTTATAGACCCCTGCCTGGCACAATCCCTAAGAGAAACATCAGTTTCCATGGAAACGACAATAAGAAGGCCCAGCCATGTTCTCGCCACATCTACTTGCTCTCATTAGGCCTAATCTCTTTTTGCTAAAATATTGATTAAACAGGAGATTGGAAGTTATTACCAGGGCCTAATTACAATCTCCATATTGGCAAAGGGAAAATAGATGAGGATATATGGGCCCGTTATCAGCTTTTATCAATTTCAATTGAGTAGCCAAAGTTGTGGAATCCAGTCCTATCAATCTACAGCCTATTCATCATCCATGAATCATTTATTTCATGATCGATTAACTGTAATTGTTCACTCACAGCAATTTAGGGGGAGCCAATAAGGAGTCTTAAACAACAGCAACTTCATTTGCTAATGTCTAATTAATGCAATAAACATCCTGATAACAAATGAACACATTCTTTGTGATATTTACTACTCATTTCTTCCAGGGCATCTGGGAGATATGAAACATCTGGGCTTGATTCCTACAAAGTGCACAACAGATAGGTCATTAAACCCTGTGGTAAGCTACTTAACTCCTCCTAGTGTTGTCAGTTTTCCCAATGATCTGTTATGACCCAAGTGCATGTTTCAGATCCCTAATTTTAAAAATAAATACAATGGAAAGACCTTTATACAAAGAAACATACCTTCCATTGCTCATTAGTCCTCCATCTCCTCTTTGGAAAGTGACTGTTTTGGTTGGGAGAAAACAAAACAAACAAACATACACACACACACAAGCACACACATATAAGACAGGGAAAAAAATCAATTAGTAATAATTAAAAGTAACAATTCAAACTGCTCAGTGTTCAAGATAGGAGGTTTCTTGGCATCATCACTCAATAAAGTACAGAAATTATAAGAACAGGATCAAGCACATCAGGGTTACAGTTTGTTCAGGATTTCACTGCACGTTACTGACTGACACCAACTTGCTCTGTAGCTTGCAAGGCAAACCAGCCATCTGGGCAAAAGGCCTGAATTTACCACAGGTCCCTTCATATGGCTTTGCCTTGCAAGACCGAGCCATGTGATGAAATTGTTTCTTGGCATGCTTTTGCTTCAGTACATAATGACATTGCACCAGTGAGTTAATAACATCAGGTCATAATGCAGTAATATAGTGTCACCAAACAAATATGCCATTTCCCAAGACAAACAGTCCTGGGAAAGAGGTGGCAGCTCTATTACAGATGAAGGGATGGAAAAAAATCATACAGCTGCACCATTTCCATCAGAAGAAGAGTTTAAGAACTAGCAGCCACACATAAATGCATACATGCCAGTGTCACTGGGAAGAAAAAGTGTTTCCAGTCTTCCATACACATTTTGTGTCTCCATTCATGGGTGTTTGACAAAAACCAGCCTCTTCCTTATCTATCTTATTAACAGGATTACATTTCAGGGCAATACAGGTAAACCCACATTACTGGTGAGGTGCTAATTGACAACATTTGATGCTCCTTTTTGAAGCACTGGCAAATATTTTGAGTCAAGGCCAACAGACTACTCTGGTCCTCAGTGGCAATATCCCATTATTTATTGTCAAGCATAGATAAGGCAGACTATTAAATTATATCAATGTCCTGGACACCTGCATCCTTACAGGCCTCTGACAAGATGAGGGTTTGAATTTCAAAGAGAAATGGAAAAGTCTGTGGCCAGATTATTTTAAAATAGGCCTTGGTTTGGAAATACTATTTACCTTTGTAAGACATACATTCCCATAGTTAAATTATAGCTCCTAGAATATTTGCAAGATTTTCCAAGTATTGGTCCAAACTACACTAATTCAGAATTAGGGTATTATCCACTATTCTAATCAGACAAAATTACTACACCCAATAGGAATTCTGTGATCATTAAAAAAATTAGCAATGGCATAAATCCACTGGGAAAATACTTCTGATACCTTATAGAATCCTTGTCACTTTATTAACTCCTAGGACAATTTCACAGTCTACATTCAGCAAAGGGGACAAAACTGGCCCTCTGGAAGCTCTGCTGGAAGAGTCCTTGGGTAGGGTGATTAATTATCCTTCACTGCAGAGCAGACTAATATCAATATCAGAAAATCACTGCAGTCATATGTCACATCAAAATGGTTAACAGCTGAATTTTGAAAGGATGTAATCAAACCAATTAAAGAAAAGAAAATCAAAATGCAAGTATGAAAAGTATTAAATAAAAGTCTGCTATCAAAAAACAAGACATGGTAATACACTGCAGGTAATTAATTTTAGAGCCAATGCTACTTTCTCTAACAGGTTGTCAAATGACTGTATCACTCATTGCTTAAAAGTAAATAACCTGAAGTGGTGTAACTATCATGAATATGCAAAAATGTGGGCACTGTCTGGCTGTTTCAAAGTATCTCAGTCAAAAGTACATGAGATGTTGCTTCCTTTCTCCTCCTCCCCTTCAAATTTAGTACTTGATTTCTTCAACTTTCTGCATTTCACAAAGTGACAAGAAATAAGGAGAATGAGAAACAAAGGCTAATTTGGTAACAACCCATAATAATGAAGTTTACAGATTTAAGGGAATTCCAGTAAAACATATTTTCTAAAAAATGCTTGGGATTAATGCTCTTTTTCAGATTATCATCCACCAGAAATAATTTTGAAGTTATTTTGTCACCGATCATGTAGCACATACAGGTGTGTGAGATTTTAACTTTGCATATCATATGGAAAAAAAAATCCCAACAGTATTTGTGGTCTTCAAAATATTTATATCCCTTGTGTACCTTTATAGAGCAAAGCTAAAATGGAGGAGTTAGTAGGAGATTGCAGCAATGTTTGCCTGACACATTTTATTTTCTGGGTAGTCAGGGATGGGAAAACTCCAAGGCAAGCTGTGAGAAACATATTGGGAAGACATGGCACCAAAACCTCACTGCTAGAGCCACAGTGGCTGCAGGTTGGCTGTGGCATATGAGATTGTTGAGAAGAGACAAGTATCACAGCATTTGCTCCTTTTTCTTCTACCTGTGTATCCTTGTGGTAGGAACTACTTCTTGTTTTGTTTTGGGTTTTTTTGCCTACATTAATCTCACACCCTCCCAATAAAAGCAGTGTTTTTAGAATAAAGGTTCAGCTTAGTTTATTAAAAAAAAAAAAAGAACCTATCTTGCAGTGACACTGTTTTTCCTGGGGAAGACTGTGCTTATGTGATGTGTATGGAACTGGGAGGGAATACAGGTTCTTTCCTTTACCCTCCACCCTGTATACCAACGTGTGCAGTGAGAAAACAAACAAGGAAATATTACAGTTATTTACTACGCTTGGTGGAAAAGGTTCTGGAATATTAATTAAGCGTGCCAAAATTCCTCTTGAAGCGTGGACATGTCACCAGGATGCTACAGAAAAAAAAACCAACAAAACCTATTCCTGATGCCATCCATGAATGGGCTACCTAAGGCTGGATAGAGAAGGTGCCTTTCTTTTAGCATCAGTGTTGTGAAAGGAAAGACAGCTAACAACAGAAGATATGGTCAGGCTGCCAACACAAGCACTATGTTTATCATCCCTGCCATACATTTTGTCAGCATTTTTGCCTGCAGTTTGATTTCTGCAATTACAAAACAAGTCTAAACGCCTGAATAGAAGCAGACTTAATGCAATGCAGGCTTGTAGATGTCACTGTGAAAATAAAACACACAGACAGCTGGCTTTATTTATCCTGCCTCCACTTCAAAAAGCAGCAGAGCTATTTCAAGGGGCAATGCAAGAGGAGGAAGGGAAGGATGTCCCTATCACTGACCCACCCATCTCCCTTGCTTTTTATCACCAAGGAAGCAAATCAGCTCTTTGCATCTGATATATGTTCTTAGAAAGGCTGAAGACCTGCAGGGATGAGATTGGTTTTCAGAAGAAGATGAAAAAATAACCCCTGCATAGAGAGATTTTGAAGGAATCCCCACCAGCTTATACTTCAAGGACTGTAAAAATGCAGAAACATAATCCAAAGTGCATTTTAAATGCATAAATATTTCGGGAAATTATATTGTATATATTTGTATGAAAACCAGCATATGTTAAGGAGCTTTTCAGACGCTTTTTATTAAATATATAAGGAGGTACCAAAACCATTTACTAATATTATCTGACAAGGTTAAACTTAATCTTCATGCCTGCTAGAACTGGAAAAATATGAATGTATAGTAAGTCGACATTCTGAGGCAAGAAAGCCTTATAAAGCTTTAGAAAGCTTTCTGTATGCCTATCTCTAGTAGGCCACATTTTCCTACTGCAAATGAAAACTTTAATGTTGCCAGCCAAGTCTCATTCCTTTTTCTGATAAGCTGTTTCTCAAATATGAATGTAGATTAATCCTCTTTTAATAAGCATTAACTCAGAACAGATAATCAGCACATAAAAATTCCATCAAATCTTCTGTCTACCTTTGGATGATTCTGTCATACAGTTTATCCACATTTAACAGTTTCAGGAGTTGCACATAAAATGCATAGCATTTCATGATTCTCTATCTATTTTTAATTTGGTTTTTGTTTATTCAGTTCTGTGAAATCTTTAATCCCAAGGAGCACTAGTCACTAAATAAGCTTATCTACTCATAAGTGAAAATACATATTTACTTTTTTTTGCATGGCTGATGGCCTAGACACTTGAAAACACCTGAGTATTCAAGTGAGTGGGTATTGGCACAAGTTTGAGGGCACAGAAAAGATAAAGAGATAAATAAACAAATTCTGTTTTGTCACTCTAATACAGCATTGAAATAATTAATCTGTTATACAAGAAGTGTTCAGATATCTCTTTTGTGCCATCTATCTTTGTATCCTGTGCAAGCCCATCATGCATGTTTATATCCAGGCAATTGTCCAAGTAAAGTCTAACCAGAAAAATACCATAAAACCCCCAGTACCTTAGCTTTCACAGAAACTCACAAAAGTATCTATCTTTTCATTACAGAAGTGATGGCTGAAAAGTAGTAACACTTGTATTTACTGTTTCTGTACCAGATTTGGGGTTGTTGATAGTATGTCATGGCCACAACAATGTACAGTTCTGGCACAGCTGCAGATGATGACACTGCTACTTATCAATAGTAGTCTAACAAACATATTAGCTAATCATATGTCTTGCAGTATTGGTACTACTGAGAATCAATGGTCTGATGAGCCATGATGGGGGAAAGGGAAGTGATGTACGGAATTGTGGCTCAGTAACCACTGGAGTCAGTTCAACTGAAAGTAACCAAAAAGATTTAGCTGCGATTTTCAATGTCACTTTACTTGTGACCCCATCTGAGCAATCTCTCAGTGCTTATGAATATGTTCACAAAGACAGAAAGCTCAATGAATTTAACTCAATCAGTTATTCTTCTCTGACACAAATCGTTACCAATTGCCTGACATTTGCTGTTTGCTCTTCTCCTACATGGAGTGTTACAGTAGTTTAGTCTCACTGCAGAAATTATACATCTTAGGCTCCTAATAACAGAATACAAATAACAAATGATCCTAGTGAATGGCCCGTAATCTGAAAATTACCTGAAAGAATATTTTTAGCAAGTAATTATAAAACTGCAGGATCAAGACTTTTGAACAACTATTTTTGGTGTTCTAAGTTCTATATACAGGCAAATACAGTTGATGAAAAACAACCCAAAAAGTATTCACATCAGAAATAATGGAGGGTTTGTTTTGTGTGTGAAATAAAGTAAGTATGTGGATGTTCCATTAAAAGATTCATTTCTCTTTATCATACAATCAAATGTGCATGTTCTGCAACTCTCTGAAGGATTTAAAGCAGACATCTGAACAAAAGTTGTGCACCTTCTAAAATCTGAGTATATTAGGATAAATTCATCTTTAGTAAAACTTCATTGACAGCTGTCTCTGATGGGATTCTGAAAGCTACATACCTCTCTCTAAATAATTATATCTAAAACCAAACCATTTATGAATCATAACTTTGAAGGGAACAACACACAGTTGTGAGTGACTAACTCCCAGAAGCACAGATACATTTGTCTAATTTGTATATTACCAATGGCAAATTCAAATACTAGAGAATTAACAAAGTTTCTTATGGAACTCTGGATATAAAGATAAAAAATATGGACTATGTTCTGTCCGAAGGAAGACTTTTTTTTAAATTAATGATTGTTTTTTTGGACTTGACTACTGGATGACTTAGGTTCTCAGTGCCTCCAGAAAATGATGACAGGCCAGGAAACAGAACTACGGCTTGTTTTAGTTCTAGGAAGTCCACAAGATGTCAGAACTACCTTTAAAAAAAGCACATTTTTGGCAGTGCCTCTGACATATCCTAGTTACCCAGCACATGTGGACCAAGAGCATTAAATCATGCACAGTCACTGTGGCTCCAGCACAACGCACATGCCAATGTATGCTACAAACACCATGGAAAGTTGTGTTTAAAGACAGCTGACAGTGGCATAGTTATAGGAACCAAACACAAAGATGGATTATTTAATTTTGGAAAAAAACCCTACGTTGTCTCTCAAAGAAAAGCCAGTAAAGCATTTAGGTTAGGAAGTGTTGTGCCACTACTTGCACTAACTTGGCCATACCTGCCTGGGAGCTAGAGGAGCAATCCTGAGCCCCCAGGGCTTTTCCACAAGGACACTTCTCCTCTCTCACAATGTCACAGGCCCTTGGGGTAGACTCCATCACCTTCGCTCCTCTGTCCTGACAGTCATTTGCCCTTTCCTGCTAAGGTAAACACACAAGCTGTGGCTGAAGACAAGCAAGAGTGAGAAAGCAGCTACCTGAGCATGAGGACTGGTTCAGCAGTGCAGTGGGAAGACTGGACTCTATCACATGGATGGCAGAGAGGACAGAAGAGGAGACAGCTTTGGTAAATGAAACTGAGGGGCCAAACTACACACAGAATACTTTACAGACTTCTGCTGGAAAATGATCAGATTTATCAGTCTTTTATACTGTAACACTGAGGTACCATTATTTTTAAGTTTTTAAATGTTGCGATTAGGTATGAGAGCAGAAGCTATTTATTTGTATCCATTATTACTATTAATTCTATACTCTATTTTTCCTGGCTATCCATATGTTGAACAAGCTGTTTGCAACCTGCTGTATCAGCCACACTTCGTTTATCCTTCACATGTCTTTAATCGTGTTTATGATAATGGTCTACCGTATGCTATCTTTTTTAAGATACAAAAAATAGGATACCAGCTTTGAACTGGGTAGTCAGAAAAAAACAAAATACTTCAATTCCAAAATCCCTGTAAAGGAAATGAGTGCATCAGTTAATCACTAGGTTGCCTGAAGATCTGAACACCTCACAGTAAAGCAAACATGCATAGCTAAAAGCTAAAGTGGAAGAAACTTCCATTACTCCACTGCAAAAATGTTCAAGATACTTTAGCTTTAAAATCAAAATTCAGTTATATATGACTAATGCTTGTTTATGGTAAGCTAGTTCAAGCATCTTGTCCTGCAAATTACTTTCAAAGCTGCATTATCTCAAGGAATTAGATGAGTAAGTATGCAGAATTACAATGACAGAGACATTAATGGTGGCAGATTTTATTATGTTCCCCTTGGATCACTAGGGAAATAAATACTACATTTTTATCACAGATAGGCAGCCGAAGTATTTCTCCTTGTATTTGGTTTTGATTCTGCATATCTCACATGTTCATAAACACTTAGATAGCTAATGTTTGCAGTGATGTGTTGGTGAAGTAAGAGACAGACTAATGGACAGTACCTGCAGGGGTGAAGGTGAAGGACTGAACTGCAAAACAAGAAAGCAAACACATTGTGAGTTACACACCCTGAGAAAAAGCGCTAATTGCAGGGCACGAGTTTCCTCTGGAGTTTACTCAAGTTGGAGTTGAATATCATGAGCAGGACATTGCAGCTGAGCTTAAAGCACTAACCAGCCAGCAGCCAATGAGAGACCATGGTTGGAAAGATGAGCAGTGAATTTCAACATTCACATTTGAAGACTTTCTGTGTGGACATGCTGTTCTCTGAATTGAAAACATTAGGATGAATTTTGAAGCATGATCTGTTATCTACATTCCTTGCTGAAAGCATACACAATTTCATGATGCAATGGTCACATCACACTTAGATGCAGCAAACATCATGAGAAGGAATGAGTTGCAGGAGACACAGTTTATTACGACTATTATAATTACTTACAGCTATGCATTTAAATGTATAAAAGACTTTGGTCTCAATTCTCCCCTGCTCTTCCCCAGTATGTCAACTCACATACAGGGCTAATAATTCTCCTTTTTAAGAAAAGACTAATTTTAGCTTGTGTCCAAAACTCTACGTAGGACTCTTTCCTAAGACGAATAACAGCCCAGCTGTCCTTTAGTATGAAAAATCTTGGGATATAGAATGATATTTCATAGAAACACATCTATAGGTGTGTGTGAGAGATATTAGTTTCTCAGTTAACAACACCCTACCTCTCAGAGAGTAAAAGTCACTGCTGTTAAAGGAAAGAAAAAAAAAAAACCAACAAATCGAAAATGCGCAACCCATGAACGTCAGAGGTTACATGGTGACACAAGATGAGGTTCCCCAGAAACCAAGAAAGTCCAAAAGCCACTGCTCTCCTTCCTCTTGTCCTCCATTGCTCATCTCATGTTTTCTTGACCTGCCCTGTTTCACTAAACAGGAAGGACTGAAAAACAGCATGAGAGAGTTTCCTTCTGGTTTAGTGAGCCCAGTCAGGACACTGAGGAGTCTCATGATGGCTAATGCTAAGCTGAGAAGGACATTTTGGCTGTGAATGAATGTGGGTTTTTGGCAAGGAGTTAGAGATGCTCAGTCACTTAGGGAACCTGTGTCCTCAGGTTCATATGTGATAACTTGTCATAGAAGAGTGCTTGTGTAACTTCAGTGTGATAAAATGTCAACATTAAATATGCTGTGTCCTCAACTGGGCAAATCTTTCTCAAAAAGAAAATGTTTTCTCTTTTTAAATGTTAATAAGCACTTCTAGAGAACCTGTCTCAATACCTGAAGAACGGGGGGGGTTGTGTGTTAAATTAGGCTTCAGAGTGACCTTTGGTAAGTGTATTTATTTTTCCAAACATAGTTTTCAAAAACCAATTTGTAACTGGAACAAACATTTGGTACAAGAGGACATTCCAACATGTTCTACCTCAAAGACAAAACTTTTTATGGTTTCTGCCGTAAGTAAATTTTGACCACACTTCTCTGTCTAACACATCACTCTTCTCTTCCAGCTATAGGTATGAAGTCACTGATTAAGCACCTCCATTTATTTCCCATGCACATGGCTTCAGAGACATGGAAATGCATGGAAATTAAGGAGAAGACCAAATACTCTCTAACCTTCCTTATGAGGGTCTAGTCTAGTTCATATTTGAACATATGAGTAGATCTGCACTGTTAACAGAGTGCCTTCTGAGCAAGGAACAAGAGGTATAGTTAATCCTCCTTGTGCCTTTTTTTTTTTCTTTAATGCTAGATGTGCTGGAGATGTAAAAATACTGTCTTATGATAATGATGAAATGTGGTACCGAGCAGTGCATTTAAAGCTTCTCATACAATAGCAGTTTCACAGCATACATTAAAAACAAGCATACAAAGTTCACCCAGGACACTTTTGCTGGAAGTTCAACGTGTTTTTTAAGTAGGTTTAACAGTCCCTGTTCTCTTCACGACCAAACCTGATGAGATGGTAATAAAGCTCCTGTTCTTACCAGCATAATTGCTGAGCCCCTTCCTCTTCTTTCTTCGCCAGTAGAGCCAGATGCTGAAACCCATCAGAATCACCCAACATGCCCCACCGATGCCAGCTATAAAGGCAGGCTGTTTGACAACATCAGTGATTTGCTCAGTTATGCTGTTGTTATTTTCCGTGATGACAACTTCATTACGGCCTCCTGCAGGAAAGAAAGTCACAGGAATGTGGTTATTATGGATTCTGTAACAAAAACAGGAAGCAAGGACTGCAAATGAAAATTGGGGGGAAAAAAAAAAAGTAATGGACCTCAAAAGAATTATCCACAGTAGAAGAACTTTAAGGAGTAGCAATGCACACCAGAAACCCAGTGTTTCTAGAGAGTAAATCCATAGCCATTTTGCAAACATATATTTGAAAAGATAGATCTACAGCGCACTATCAAGTAATCTAACAGATGTAAATCCAGAGCTTTTTTTTTTTATATACAATATACATACTTGTTGGTTTGTTTTCACATAATTACAGACAGGATGCAATAATGAGAAAATGGATTATAGGAAACTAATAAAAAATAAATCAAGCAGTCAATAAATAGCTTTTTCCAAATGAGAAATCCAAATACAAAATATGCTACAACATCAGAAGACAGTTTCTTCTCTCATTGCCGTCAGCATGCCAAAAATTCTTACTTAACTCATTTATTTTCCCTGAATGCTAGAGTTTCCAAATTTGAAATCAAATATAAAGTGTGTTTTCCAGAACTTATTTCGTGGGGAAAACAATCCATACAAATTCTAAGTGTACCAGCTTTGACACAAAGCAGAAAAACACACAGTTAACTGCAAACTCTAAGCAATCACAGCAACAGATGCTATTTTTTTTCACGTACAATATGCATGACAAATTCTTAACATTAACCTGTAAGAAATAATTATTACGTGGAATCCCAATTAAAGTGACATGCATCAAAAATTACTATATAGGATCTTAAATTCTACATTACATTAGAAAACTGTAAATTCCAGTAGATGCTTCCTTTCCCCCCCCCTTTCTCTAAAAGGGAACTTTTTCAAAAGAAACAGCTTGATGTCTGGCTGGAAAACAAATGATCATAAAAATCTGATTGGAAATTCAGGAAATGCTGAAGTATATAGTTCTAGGACCAGCACTTCTCTACTTCAAATCTCCCCTTGTCAAAAATAGTTAGTTTTAAAATTAGGAAATGCAGAACATATTTTTCTGCAAAAAAAACCCCCATGAATACTGATTCTATGTACATTTGATACAAACTGCCCACATCTGCAGTTTTGAAATTCGTGAAATATTATCCATCTTTTCCGGTAAAATCATTTATATAGTTCAATCCTTGAAATGTTTATGTAATATCACCAGATGCCTCTGTGCATGCTGAGGAGCTGCAAGAGTAGCTATTCTACTGAAACAAAGAAGATAGAAACACTATGATTCTCAATTTTGAAAGTCTATCACACACATATAAAGGTAGTTGAATATTTCAATAAAACACTGAAATGGTCATTCAGAGGAAATTATTAAAAGTATTGTATCATTATGCCTTGCTGTGAAAACAGGATGTATTCCTCTTCTGTAATTCAGCAATGGTTAGATTTACCACTCACTTCTTTCAACAGACCAGCTTGCTGGCTTCAGCCTAAAGCCACCAAACAGGGTCACTGGCTAAAACAGATGTGAGAATTCTGACACTTCCAGTTCTGTTTCCACAGACACCTCTCTGCAGGTGACCCAGAGCCAAGTTGCCAATGGGGATCCCTCACGGAGAGCCTGTTGGGCTGAACATGCCCTCCCTGCCCCACTCCCTCGGGGACTGGTTCTGCCCAGCACTGCCCCAGCCAAGATGCAGCTTCAGGCCCTCGATGGTGTGCAGAGCTGGGCTGAGTTACTCGGGAAGGACCGTGATGCGCTGCATCACATTGCTATCACACTGCTGATGATCTCGGGGGTTTTATTAAGCTTTCTCTCTTTCAGCACCATGTCAATATTTAGTACTGATGACCGTCTGCTTCTGCAAACAGACTGTTAAAACTGTGCTAGAGCTTGGCTTGCTTTCAGTCGTTCTGGGCAAGAAACAAAATGGGCTTCCCGCAAGCAAAATAGGTCCCGTGGAAGGATGCTGACAGACTAGGTCTGGTAATGGATAAAAAGGCAGTACACCAGTACTGGTGTCATCTGTCAGTCTACACTGGCCATGCTGGTGAGCTCTACTAATACTAGGGCCTGGGAGCTGCAGCTGTCCTTTCCTGTGCTCTCCTCTCTTGTCTTGCCTCTGCCAAAGGCCCAGTGGTTTCCAGTTCTGATGCAGTAAGGGAGAATGGAACTGAGTGAGCACTTGTGACAAAGAAAAGAAGGGAGACAGTGATAAAATCCTTTTATCTGATTTTCCCCTGTTTTTAATGCCCATGGAACCAACTACAGGTGCACCCCAGTGCTGAAAGAGGAAGGGTTGTGAGTAAAACTAATAGAAAGAGGCACTCTATGGCATGCTCTTCCAGGACCACAATTGATTTTCTAGTAGAAATCAGCAAGGGAATCTGTGTTGTTTTAATTGCCATTAACTTGGAGTTAATTTCTGTGCCCTTTGGAGGAGAGACCAAAGCAGTGGGATGGTGGGGAAACAGGTAATTTTTGCACTACTTCAGAGGCAGCTGTGCTGCCATGGAGAAGAGCAGGCAGGGACATGCTTCGAGAGACTGGCTTTGGGAGGTGATGCTCCTGGACTCAAGAAAAGTACAAGTTCTGTCCAGAAAAGCCTCCAAAACAACTGAGGATCCCATCTTCTTCTGTAAAGTCAGAAACCAGTCTTTTTAAAATGGAGAATGTGAGAGTAAACCACAGAGAGCCTGTGGAGAGCTTTCAGTGGGCTTTACTCTCTCCCTCTCTTCTAGGAGAAGATGCAATCTGCCTCCAAATTACCTTCTCAAGTTCACAGTCTGGCTGCTTGCTCTTACCCTTCTGTGCCTAGCAATTACAACTGCAAAAGTAATAATTCATTTAAATGTCAAAATAACATATGCTTTGTGAATTTGACGACGGAAAAATAAATAGATACAGATGAATGTTACCCGCTGACGTTTGATGAAATTAATATAAGCGTTGGGGGTTGGGGAAACAAAAGGCATTAGTTTTATACTTCTTTATATAATATTTAAGCAGAAGTAATAAATATGTCATCCAAGGTACCAGTGCAGTACTATTTCATATACTGCAGGTGTTTCTGTAACAATGCTGTCAGTTCAACTAATTAGAACATAGACAAGGGAAGTGTGCGACCTGTAACGCTCCATTGTTCCTGAAGACAAAAACATAATGAAATATAATGTCTTCCTCCCATTGGAGAGTAATGAAGAACAAAACTAATTTGTTGGACCAAAAATTAATTAGACACATCAGATTCGATTGTACCTATTACTGTGAAAGTTTGCAGCTGTTCCTGATATTATTATGCCAATGATGGAATGTAAGAGTGAACAGGTCAACTGATGAGGAGAAATAATAGCTATGGCATTAACCAACATTGCTGTTATCTCCATTTTTGTTTCTGTTTCTCCAGTAGAAAAATTTTTACCATATCATTAATGATCATAAAAATTTTATTCTTGATTCTCTTTTAGTGTTCCATAAAATTTTTCAACATCCTGCTTGAAGTATGGGCACAGCACTCCTGTAACAGTGAGACAATTTCTAACTAAAGAAATAATATACCTCCTACTGCTCCATATTCTCCAGGTTTTATTTTCTGGATTGTCACAGGTCTGTTATCTAGAGCTGCTCTGGGAAGCCAGTAATTGATTATCCACCATGAAAAACAGTTATTTTAAGGAAAGACCTCCTTAGAAGAATAAATCCTGTATTTAAGAATAATATTTTCCTTTTTTATACACTGGACTCTGTATTTCATGACAATGAAAGTTGCAATGCTTAGAAACATAGCTTAATTCTTCTGCATCACTGACCTACTCTGTCCATAATTCAGCATTTCTGGAGTTGCCCATTCTGTTTGCAAGCTGTTCTATAGTATAGCTAATCAACAGGCCATATAGGACTCCATTATAATACAATCATTCATTAATGTTTTCACATTCATTAAGATGTTTTGAGGTTTATTCATTAGCTCATTTTTAATCCATCCAATTAGTTTTTTTCATTTACTTAAAAAAAAAATAAAAATCCTGTTTTATGTTTTTGATTCCCAGTCAAACACTGAATGGTACCAACTCAAGTTTTCCAGAAATGGTATTGCTTAAACACTGCTGCCTTTATCAAGCAAATTTATAGTCTGAGAAATAGCTCTCAGCAATTAATAATAAAAAAGGGGGTCTAAAGAAAAGGGAGACAGACCATATATGTAGTAACCACATCCAGCTTTGGGCCACCAAAAGGGAAAACAGAAATGAGGACAGAAATATAACCCAAACAGAAAGTACTCTCCTTTACTTTTAATGCAAAAGACTCTTAAATGTGCAAAGATGCCACCAGACAGACTTGTTGAAGCAGATATTCTGGGATCATTTTAGGAACAAATAAATATCACTAAGATTAATGAGATAAAATTAAGTCTCTAAATGCCAACCAATTTTTGTCTTTTCTTACTTTATTTACATCCTTAACATCCCTTTCCCTCTTCTGGCAGCAATACAGACCTCTCCACATTTAACTCTTGATTATACCAGTCATTTTTTTTGTAAGGAAAAATTCATGATGAATGGCTGTACCCAGATGTGAGGCTGAACATTCTGGGAATCATCCAATGAAGACCTTTGGTGCAAGTTTACCTCATATCAAATGACACAAGGCTACTCATGTACTTAAAATGCAACACACTTATGTGCTTTGCTGGAATAAGTGTAGTGCCTAGTTAGATTATTTCCTTAGTGAAATAATAAAAGGAGCTCCTGCTCAAAGTGGATGCAGTGACAGACTAGTCTTACAATATCAATTATTGACACAGAGGACCAATATCCAACCCTATTAGGTGATTTCTTATTTTCAGTTCTAGAAATCTTTTTTCCCCCTTTTCTTTCGCGTATCTTTGGCTGCCTTTTTCTAAAACCAGTGCTACCTTCACCTCTACTCTTGTATTTCTGTCTCCAGTGACAATATATTCAAAGTTGAAGTACTCTAGTTTCTGTTTTGATGAGTGGGGAACCCGAATATCATTAGGGGATGGCCTTTTCTAAAGGTCTATACATAACAGAATAGTCCATCTTTGGGATGGTGTGTTGACAACATTTTCTAGAAAGAAAATATTTAATAACAACAGAAGTCCCACAAACAAACAAAAGTATATTCAAGTAATAACTAAATTAGGTCATACAGATAAAAGCAACAGAATTCCTGTATTATGTACTCAAAGGAGGTACTGCTTTGCATAGCTCAGTTCAGGTTTGCTAATTATTGTTACTTCTCCTATTCTTCCATATTGTTCCTGCCTTTATGTTTTATACTTAGGAAAAATTTCAGAAGAAACACAATCTGTGTTTCCCTCAGGTCAGGAAATCAATTCTGCATGGAAATCACTACTAAGAAATGACCATTCCAAAGGCAGGGATTATAATGCTACCTTTGCTCTCTATTTTGTCTAAAGGCCACTTACTCTTTGTCAGAGGACACTTGTCTGCTTGGGATACCTGAGAAACACTGACTTCAAATGTTCAGAAAACAACCATAAACAGTGCCTTAGGCACCAAAGGGATGAATAAGGCAATATTACAGTCATCTTAGCAGAGGGAAAAGGGAGCTCAGGCTGTTAGTGCCATAAATCCGTCAAGTTGCAGAAGTGGTAAAATCATTAAAACCCCCACATTAAGCCAGTTCCACTAGACAATCTGCATTTTCTTTTATGTCTTGGGAACATACTTCCTTCCAATGGCTACAAGAACTCTTCATGAAGGGAAGACACAACACCAGCAGGCAGTGGGACATTAAAAGCTAAGAAACCAGCTCTATTCAAATCTTATCTTTTGCTCCGTGGATTTTTACGCTTCCAGAAGTGATTTATGAAAGAAAAAAAAAAAAAAACAAAACAGGCAAAAAAACCAACAGAACAGACAATCACTTACCAATTATTATGGGCTGTGGCTCACTTTTTACTCCCACACCTGCACTGGTGCTTGCAGCAACTTCCACGCGGTACTGAATACCTGGATATAGGCCACCTATTACTACAGACCGAATGGCTGCATCTACTGTTTTGTTGATATGAAATCGAGTCTCATTACCTAGGCACCAGATCTGGGACAAAAGTTGATGTGTTAAAATAGACGAAATTCTTCACACTCACACAATCGTGCATAGATATGACATATCAAAGCATTTCATGACAATCACTTATTTCAGGCTTCTTAACAGTGGTACTTTCCGAGAATAGCTGAAATTAGAATGATTTAGCTCAGCAAACTGTGCCAGATTAGCACAGGACCAAGCCAGCTGCAAAAACTGCATGTAAATAACTCTCTGGACTCTGGCTCTCCATGGAATGCAAATTCTGTGGTTACACTTCTTAGAAGCCCAGACCAGATCATCCAAGTGAAAAAGATGTTATATATTAACTAAAATCTTGTTCAGTAACATGAACCTTCATTACCACCAAACCTGTCCTTTAAAAAACCCACATTTTTTCCTTTCGGATTTTCCACTGAATAGCAAAAAGACAGCAAATAACATGAGAACAGGTTAAAACACTTCTTAAAGAACTAAAGAACAAACAATTTTCAAAATTCTTTCCAACTTCCTTTGGAATTTATGAAATGGAATAAGTACAGACTCACTTTTTACTGCTGCCTTTGTGATTACTTACAATGTTTAGGAATCCAGATATCAGTTCCTGATTCAATTACTATCTAATTAAACAGGAAAACCACCCTATAATCTCAACTGGCATTTTGTGATGAGAACTCTCTATGATTTCAAAGTGCTACATCTGTCTCTGCTACTTTTTCATAGGCCTCTCCAGAGAGGTTTCAAAACCAAGACCTTCTAGGGATACTTCTTCAGTTAATGTTATCTGCATATACCGCTTCTGTATTATTTAAAAATGCATTTACTACCTCTCAAGAAAATCAATGCACAAATACATCACATGTACACTCACATAACAATAATAGCAGAAGAAAGCACTACTGCTGGAACCACTGTCAGCAACCAACTGATGCATCTAACAACAGCAATGCTATCTTTACCCTTATTTTTGACCCTGCTTAGTGTTTTATCACACCTTCTCTTTTTCTTTCTTTTTTTTTTTCTGTGAAACACTGAGAAAGATTTGAAGGGAAAAAAACTCCTCTGTTTTCCTAAGCTCAATGAGATCTGATTTGCAGGCCAGAATGAATTAGGGTGAGAAACTGTTGCATTCATTCCTTTTCTCCTTATCTCTCCTGGTCTTAGTTTACAGCAGCTATGAGATGCCTCTAATTAAAGGCATTTAATTCATAAATGAATTTACAGGTGCTCCTATGCTTGAAGTAGAATCAACAGATCTACCTTCAATTTGTCAGAAACTGTACTGTGAAACCTCATCAGACATTTTTTACTCAGGGAAATATTAAACTGCAGCACAGTCCCAGCAGCCAGCTCACTAATCAGGCAGCCACCTAATCTAACACAGAAGGGATGTAATAGGTAGTGACTCCAGCTGCTTTTATACACAGCCCAGAGGTCTGAGCACTCACCTGGAACATGGCTTTTATTAACCATCAGCCCTCTTTGTTTCATATCTACATATTTTGTGGTTTAGGAATGTACTTTACCTGTTTGCTTGTAAGCCCTTGACAATTTATATTGACTTATATTGGAGTCAGGACCAAGATTAATTAAGCCACGAGATAATTATTAATTGATATGAAAATTAGATCAATAAAATACTGGGATTAATAAATCTTGATATTGACTGGAAGCAAAACAAAGGAAGCCCTATGCTAAACATAAATATTGTGAGTATTTACTGCAACCCTCTGACCAGGCAAAAAGGTGGAAGAAGTTGAACCAATTAGTCGATTTAAAAGTCAAGCACCTTCTCCCTTCTTCATGCTGTGTTCCCTCAAGGTACCCCATGGCCAAAAAAATTACACCTTTTTGTGTGAAATAAGCTGCACCCACCACTTCCACCCTTTGTGGAAAGCAGCAAGAAAGCTGCCCTGCACTATTTCAATTAAAAATTTCACACTTGCTGTATAGGTCAGCCACAGCAAGGCTGATTTACCAAGCAGTGTGCTCCATGGTCACAGGCCTGCCATAATGCTGAACCTTGCCCAGTCATCTTCTCCACAGTCCTCCAACCCAATAACACTGCATTTCTTTCATGTTGTCAAAATATACTTGTGCCAAAGTGATCTCAGTATGGAATTATAGACTACAAAAAAATTTAAAGATAATATAAAAGGAGTGGATACTTTGAGCTATCATAGCAACAAAGGAAAAGAATATACAACCCAATGGAAACAACTCTCATGTAACAAACTCTGGATAGAGTAGTTCTGTTCAACCTGTTCCTCAGAGCAAACAAGCCAGCATTTTAAGTTGTGAAGCTTGACAGAAACAGTACTTAGAAGAAGCCTTGTATTCTCCCAGAGCCACAGTCCTTGACTTTGCCCTTGAAGTGTTAGGAGTAGTATTTTTGCAGGGGAAAGAAAAGGTATCTTTCCTGCTACCTTTTCTGCCAGATTAAAGGCACTCTAAGACAAGGACTTCACTGCCTGTCTTTAAAGTACAGAAGCCTTTAACAAAAAACTCCTTTCCTTCCACAGCAGGGAAAAGTAAGAAAGAGAAGTACTGTAAACTAGTTGGAAATTACATCTCTCTTCCATGGTATTTTTTATTTTTAATATAACAGTAGTACTGCTTTAAAAAAAAAATCCATAAGCAGTCAGTCTTCTTTCTCCATATAATTACAAGGGCAGCTGTAAAAGCTGTCAGAATCTAAATCCATAAATGTGGCTACTGTTCAAGCAGGCTGTTTCCTTAAATTCACAACCCTTCCATTAGACATCATTTCTACCTTATACTCCTGGATGACTCCATTTTGGTGATCTGGAGGGGGAGGATCCCAGGAGATGCTGATGCTCGTGCTGTTGTGGTTTCCAACTGTCAGGACAGTAACAGACTGAGGAGGGGCACTTGGAGCTACACCAAGGAGAGAGAACAAACAGAAGCAAGACATTAATCCATTTGTTAGAGCATGAAGTCTGCTGAAACCCTGCAAGAGCAAGCAGGCAGTATAGAAAGTTCACACTCCCTGCAGGCCTAGGTATGCACATTTTGCTAGGCACTGTCAATTTTGAAAAATGCCTTTCTGGAGAGAAGCATAGAGCTGAATGACAATGTGGAACTTGTGGCAATGGAGAATCAATACAAATCACTCCTCATTTATTTATATTTAGCATTTCTTAATTTTGCATTGGAACTGGTCTCACTCTTGCCTTTGTTTCCCACAATAAACATGGATAGCTACATATATATCAACTAAGTCACATGTGAAGCTGCTTCATCTGGCCTGAAAAGTGTTTTGGTTCTTCTTTCTCCACATAATAATAATAATAGGATGCTTTTTTGTTTCCTAATCATTCTTCAGGAAGACATTAACAGGTTTAAACATAAAACCTTGCAACTCTGAAGTGGAAAAGGGTTAAAGTGTTCATGGCTTTACATGAAATGTCAGTGAACAGGGTAGGTGCTAAGTTAGGTCAGATATATACTTAGGTCCTTTTTTTCCCCCTAGGCAAATTGCTTTCTCTTCAGAGGCCTGTTCAGTTCAACCATTCACAGCTGTTTGGCTGGTCACTGCATATCAAGGCCAATTCTACAAGACAATTGCTTGCCAGCCCTCCTAGTTGTCTAGAAGTGTGAAAAAAAAATCATAGTTGTTAGTGATCAAGGCTATGCTGGCAAAGCCCCTGTTGCAGCTACACCAGCAGCAGGGTGGTTTTGTTGGCTAAGGACATGTGGATTGGGAAGTGGAGCAGAAGCTCAGTTATGGAAAAGTCCCCTCTGTGAGCATCTGCTGCATCTCCAAGCAGGGCTCTCCCACCATAGCTACAGCTGCCAGTGCAGAGGGCTGGGAATATGGCCCTCCCCAGCCACTTAAAACCTCTTGCAGCCCCCCCTTGCCCTTCCTTTTCTTCCAGGTAAGAGTTGAAACATCACCACAGTGGCAAGATAAGCCACTGAGGTCCAGTGTATTGTATTAAGGTATGGTCCTTGGGGGGAAAAAGTTATTGATAGCAACTGCTCTGAAATGAACCAAAAATCCAACTATTCCATTTATCCCAGTCCATCTACCTAGTCTTCAACAAAACTAACAGAAAGAGGCTAGGAAAGAGTGAACTAATAAAGTGAGTATATATTGATACCTCTCCAGGACAATTTTCCAATTCACAGAAGACTGTTGCTTAGACACCTTTTGTTCCAGGGTGATGTCTTTGTGTTCAATAACTATTTATGGAATTTGTCTTCCATGTATTTGTCATTGCCTTTAATATGATCTTAAAACATTTAATATGAAATATGGATGCCAATTTTGAAGACTTATAGCAGACCTTGTACCAGAACCTAACATATTTATCAGTCCCCCACCCCAGCTTCAAATCTAGACAGCCCTCTGGTTTTGGGCATCTCACATCCTGTGTTACAGCTCCCTGACTCCATTGCCCTGGTCTAGAGTGACTGAGCTCTATGGTAACAGGGCTCTACTCTTATCTTTAACAGATATCCTGAGTGCATGACCATGCTTGGACCACACTTCTCAGAAAAGCCAAGACCTCTGGCATCTCTGTATTAAAGCCTGGCAGGTTTAACACAACCAAGCACAGCCACAGATATCAGAGGTATTCAAGCCTACTGAGCCAATTCAGATTTTCTTATTGTTCCCCATGACCTCTTTGAGACTGGCTGTGTTCCCACTTTGGAAGCTTCTCAGTACTTGACCTGGCACAGGCTCAGGGAGCTGAGCTCAAATCTTTACCCTGATAGCCCTGAAGACTTGGAGTACTCTGTTGCAGGAAGGACATAACTTCAAACCAGGGTATCAGAGGTGGGGACAAGGGACCATACAAGATTATATCAGAAAAAGAAAATATTTTAGACAAAACGTGAAACCCATACTACAGTCCCTGGAGGCTGCACATTTCGACAGCTACATTTTCAGAAGCTGGTTCAGCTGCAAAGCTTGCAGAGCTTGGTATAGTCCTTGTGACCTTGCCTGATGCAGAGAAACAGTGCACTGGAGGGGAGAAATGGAGCTGTATTGTGGACAATTTGACTCTTAGCCAGCTCAAGCGAAGCACGGAAAGGTGGCCTTGGGCTACTCCTTGCAACTGTGCAAAGCATAAAATTGGGGAAGTTAATAGTTGCATTGTGTGTTTTATGGCAAGGGAAATAATTTGCCACACAGTAAAACAATTAGCATTTTACAAGTCTTCAAGATATTCAACAACAAAACCGTGAATAAATGTATGTGTGTGATATTAATTAGTATATTTTAAATGAAAATAAAAATCATAAAAATGGTAAAGCTTAACACTGTATAACTCATTTTTGTTTTTAAGTACAATGGAACTTAAGTACAGTGCTCAAATGTATGAACTTTCATTACTCAAACAAAAAGGGCATTCAGAAATAGAATTTTGTATATAGACATACCTGGGAGAATGGGGAGTGTGAATGCAAAGAAATGTAAAATGAATACCATCCCCTAACATTTAAAGAAAAACATACTGTATTCATTTATTTGTCTTTGCATTTAAATGCTATGAGTATTGTAGTTAATATTCTACCAGTACATGGTGGGGGTTTTTTGGAGGATATGATAACTTGCAAGCAAAACTAAAACTGCAGCTGATGAATACAGCTGAAAGTATCATTTTAAGAGCTGGACTAAGGTGAGGAGGAACTGACAGACAGCAGCTGATAAAAGCTAAGGAGACTTCCATTACCAACTGTCCTATTTTTGTGATGACGAACAAAAGACTACTCCAAAAAGTTATTCCAAGAGAGATTTAAAACAGTGGATGCAACTGAAAAAAAAAGTCATCTGTCTCTAGAGCAAATATGAAGGAAATAGTGAAAGTGATACAATAAAATATTTGATTTAGCTCCTCTTTGTATGTGTGTACACACGTATGTATATAATAGTTCTGCTTTCTCTCTCTGATAATATCACTCTGTAAGCTGGCACCATGATATAAATTAAGCCTCTCGTCTGACACTGCTGCAGTTATTAAACAGATCACATTGAAAAATAACATTTTTAAAACCATTTTCTCATTTCCCTTGCTGCTGGCTTGTGGAGAACACCTTGCCTGCTTCTTGACAGGTCAATTATTCCAGTGCTCAGCTTCTTCTTACAGATATGAAAGAACCCAAATCGCTGCTCATCTTTTCCAGACGCAGCCAAACAGAATTCCATTTGTTACCTTCACAAGGCCAAAGAGGCAGGAGATGGATGGATACTGAACTGTGACAAATGCCTGATCTAGGGGAAAAGTCTAACTGCAGCAAAATTGATTTTTGGGGGTAGGCCTCAGACGTAACATTGCATGTAAAATTCAATCCAGCAGAAAGCTGCCACTACCTCCTGGTCGTACTTTGCCTTTATCAGGGCTATTTGTTTTGATGTCACAAAAAACCTTCCAACACGCGTATCACTCTTCCAAATTATTTTCTAAAAATAGCATAGCTGACATTTTTTAAAAGTCAAGCCTAAAAAAGCTCATTTTCGAAATGGAATCACAGGCAGACACAGCAAGTGGGATACCTTTAAATAGACTGCCATCTTTCTTCGGTGGATGAGAAGCAAACCACTTTCATTAAACATTTAGTCGGTGCTATTTTTGAAATACACGAACACCCATATAATTACAAGAATAACATGAGGAATTAAAGGAAATATCTGTGGAACTGCATCTACCCAATGCCTTAATTTTCCCATGGAAGTACTTAATTTTATCACCCAGAGAAGAGGAAAAAATTTTTACAGGGGCTGACATTTGTCAGGTGATAATACTACATGTTCTAGGCTGACTTTTTTTGAGAAGAGATAGTTGTAAACAGACTCCTTGAAGGTTATATTAATCTACAAAGCATATCCTTGGCTGTGAGTTATACATATCTGTGGGCATGAAATTTTTTAAAATCCTCACTATGTGGAAAGCTATTCCACATGAACAAAGTGTCCTTTAAGGTAAGAAATTACCTGACAGGCTCTGCTGGTAGCTGAGGTTTATAAAAGAGAATGTCATTCCTCAAGTATTTTATAGAAATAGACAGGAGGTAAAAAATCTTCTCCTTTTTTTCAGTAGTTCTTAATTTACTTTTAGCAAGAGACAGTTTAGATGAAGCTAAATAAACATCAAAAATCAATTGAAATTGGACAAGAAGAAAATCTGCTAGTGAGAGGACAAAATCCTACATTTTAACTCTAGGAAAGCAGTTTCACCTGTAGAAAGTTTTTTACAATTTTCTTTTTTTTTTTTTTTTAAAAAAAGCTTTGTTCAGACTGCTGCAAAGATATTCTTTACCAACTGATTTAGGTTTTACTGTTTGAACAAAGAACTGGGAGCCACAAAGTCTCAAATTCCAAATGAGACTTGAGCAATGCCTTCCTACACAGTCTTCTACATTTTGTAGTGCAGTGAATTTCTTCATCCATAACGTGCAAACTCCAACCAAGTCATCTTCAGGATTACTTACATGTTGGGCAATAATCATAACAAATCAAAGAGAAAAGTGAGTAATAAGCAAGTCTGTTCTAGAATTAAAAAGTACTTGGCAATCAACACTAAATTAAACCTCAGGAGACCACTGTAAATGATTAAGATGCACCTTCAATAGGAAGGGAAGAGTGCACTTAGAACCCTTTGAAACCATATGAACATTTTGAAGCTTCACCAATATTTCTCTTGTTTTGAAAAAAAAATATAGAAAAAAATCAGTGAAACAGAGAAAATAATTCTCATTGTTATGACCATCTTGCATTTACAGGAGAGATTCTCCAGGCAAAGGCTGCATTAGATAAGTAGAAAGACAGGTTTCTAAGAGAAAATTATTAAAATTACTTATATCTCACCTCACTCCCTCTACTTTTCAAATCAAAACCAGAAGCCTTGGAGTTCATATGCTTTAGCAAAACTATATACAGGCTGTATGCTACAGATACAAAAGCCTGAACAACTCAGTAGTGTAAACTGTTTACTGTGTCTGAATTCTGCCTGTTTCAGAGAGGCTTGAAAGGTGCTTAAGGAAATCCTCCCAATGGCTGAACAGTGCAGTTTCATGAAGAGTGTGCTAACAGAAACATTGAAGTGGCATCCTCTTGAGACTGGAGTTCCTTCAGACCAGTTAAACATGTGTCCTTCTCTACTCCTCATTTCCCAACCAACTGTTCATCTGCATTATTATCCACTGAGAAAGATGTGCTTAACATCAAACGCTCATCTGCAAATGCTTTCATTTGTTTTTTTTTTCAAAGTGCAGACCAAACCCTTTTATTGCAGCAGCAGTGGTTATAAAAGAATGGCTGCAGCACACACTTTTTGGAAGACCCAAAGCCATCGCTGCATTAGAAGGATGTATCAACTAAAACAATAAAAGACTGACCCGGTGCTTTCTCGTGGAACACTTAAAGCACAAAACTGAACATTGTGTCAAATTCTTACCTCGCCTGTGTATCTAAAAAACAGAAATCACATGGAGGAAAGAGAGCTGAACAAATGCATACACACCATAACCAAAATGGTCACTGTTCCTCTCACCCCCAGTGCTAGGTGTGGAAGCCTGTTGCTTTTCTGGCCGTTTTACCAACCTTCCTCTGTGGTACGAGCAGATTTGGATTCACTGTCCATTCCTTGGAACTCATTGAAATAAGGGCGAACCTTTATTTCATAAGTGACCCCCTTCTTCAAGCTGACGAGGACAGCACTGCGCTCAGTGGGGACTTTGACCTCCAAATTCTGCCACACAGCTGGAGAAGGCAGGCCAGATGTTTGGCGGTACATCACCCTGTAGCCCTGAATAAACTGGGACTGGCGGTCAACCTGGAAATGACATTAAACAATACAGCAATAAACATATCAGAGTTGAAAAAGAAACAACCTGCGTAAAAAGAAAACAAAACGTTTGCCTAGGATACTTTTGCCCTCATCAAAAAGAGAAAATTAACATTTGGTGCTGAATTTAATAATCAAACTGCCTTCTTGTAAGTCACTCTTGATTAATTGTCTGCAAAGTACATTTGTCTCACATTACTTGTTACAGAACATTTCTTTCTGCTTTGCTTTCTCCAGCTCTGTGCATCATGGCAAATACCACCTAAAATCATAAACAAGGCCCCACCCCAGCAATAAATCATGGAAAGGAAACTTTGGCATAAGGCTTGCTGCATGTAAACTTACTGAGCATGTCTTGGCTACTGATGTGCTGAAATATGAGAAGAAAAGAAAAACAAATTCTTCTCAGAAAAGGACAAGTCTTTGAAGATACACTGCATGCTTACAGTTAGTCCACTACTTGGCTCACAGCTCATGGGATGCACAGGAAAATAAAATAAACATAAGACAGATGCAGAGAAAACAAATTCCAAAGACATGTCCTGTTTCTTGCATTCACAGTCTCAGCAGTCTCTTTGCATCCTGAGGTTGTGATGCTTTCAGGCCATCAGATGGAGATGGAATGTTGGTTTTGGTTTATATTTTATTTGTTGCTAGGCAAGCAGAATTCAAGATTGGACCACGCACAGAAGTTTAACAATTTTAATCTATCATAAATATAAATAGGATTTTTATTTGAAGAAAAATTTTACATGTATTTTATCTTGGAGAGGTTGCATGCATTTTTTATCTTGCAGGAAAAACAAAGAAAGCAAACCCCAGTGATTTTAGCTATTATGATGCTTGGATTAATTCTGCCCGTAAAAAACAGTCAAAACAATTTGATGTATAAAACTAAACCAAATCCAGCTGCTTCTGTAGTCATCAAATAAAGAGTAAAGAAAGTGCAGCACAAACAACAAGACTATACAGCTGGGTGTTTGGTAAACCTCTGGGTTATAACCAAGATTCAACAAGTAGGATATCTCTTGTGTTCCTGTCAATTTGCTAGCTCAAAGATATTCCAAAATTAGAGATGCATTTGTTTGACTTCTCTTAAGAATAAATGAATTTAAGGCTGAAAACACAAACCATAGTCTATTATGCTTCTCCTATAATCTTGTTACAGTTTATTGAGGCATTCAGAGGGGACACAGACTCTTAGACATTAAAAAGCAGGGCAAGCAAGAAGAAAGCTTTATTTATGAAAGCAAGGCAGAAATGTCTTTCATCAAAACTGTCACTGTTAAAAACCTTGCAACATATGTTACAACAACATTAAGCTTGCATTTTATAAACTTCTCTACGTTCACTTTAAGTGAATTTATGCACTGAAAGAGGGATATAACTCACAATAATAGCTTGTTAATACCGAAAGAATCAAGCTGTGTTTTTAAGAAGAACATTAAGCAGCTGTTTCCAGATGAAGGGAGTCTGTAAATCAGAGTAAATTGTTTTTATCCATGTTTGACTTTGATTAACTAAATGTTTTACGGACATAAAGACTTCTATGAACCCCGTGTTTACTGCAAAATTCAGCAAAAATAACACTTTCGTGCACTTTGCAATACAGATCCTTAACCTAAATTACAATATAGCGTTATGATGTTTAATAATCAAACATCAAGTTTGATTCTTGCCTAACTTCTGAGTTAGAAGCTACACTGAAAAATGGTATAACTTTCTTAGAACATTCCACTTTTTCTTTGCTGTGTGTTCCAGCTCTGCTGACTGCTGCCTAGTGGAGAACAACTGGAAATTCAGAATTGACGAGGCTGAACACTGTGTGTTGCTACAAAACGGAATGGAAAGTGTTTTGTAAAGCACAAACACAAGTGCACCCACCAACTCACTGAGAAGAACTGGACTCCTATAGTTACACCATATGCCTATAGTGTAACAATTTTGATTGCATTACACTTCTGTATCTATTTGTGTATAGGTAATATACAAATTGCCCATACACGTATTTTCCTCCTAGACTTTTAAGTTCCTAACCTGAAAGACTAAACAATACAAGGGTTATGAAAATAGGCACAACAAGGCTGACATGTTTATGGGTGCTACAAACTAGCTTGATTTGGGGCTCACACAGTTTTCACAGAGCTTTCAATTAGAAGTTAGATTACAACTGGGCTGAGTGATCTGCCCGAATTTCAGATTATTGACAGTGAGTTCACTCCACTGTTTATGCTTAGGGAGGGCAGTGACATAAGAAAATACTATGCATTTTTAATGTATTCTATAAACATCCAGTTGCATTCAAAATCAAGGAGAGGATACTAAGCTCTATCTCATGCCCAGTTAGTCTGAATGAACAGGGCCCTCCTGTAAGGTCAAAATATTGGGAAACTGCTCTGAGGGCACTTCACTTATTTGGAAAGGTGGATTTTTTTTTTTTTGTTTGGTTTGGAGTTGTCAAAATAGTGAAAAATTGCTCTTGAATAATTACATGGACTGACCAGAGACATTTGTGAGGTGTATGACAGGTATGTTTCACATATACATACACTCATACTTTTGTACAAGTATACACATATATACATATATGCATATATATGTATATATATGCATATGTTATGTTTATATGCATATATATATGTTTATATACTTGCACACACAAAGCCTATGACTTAACAGTTTGCTGCATTTTTGTGGTAATTATGTGTCATGCCTACAGCAGGCCACTAAAAAGAAATCCTTATATGCTTAGCAATTAAGAAATTAATTCAACTATGCTGAGCATTAAATATCTCTGTAAGTTTGGTACATGTTCACACGCAGGCAGAGTTGCAGAAACATGCACTGTGACTTGAAAGAATCTAATACTTTCTAGCTATTCTCATTTCTCTCTCTCTTTTTTTTTTTTTGGTAAGTGGTTGCCACTTGTACAAAGTGCTCAGCATTACTTCAGTGTTTGCAGGAACCCTCTGCATTGAAATACTGGGATCCGACAACATTTCTAGTCTTCCCGTGACACTTAAATACTCTTGAATTTGTACAAGCAGCAGTGATACCAACTCAAAAGATCTGCAAGAGTTGCTGATCTAAAGACACACTTTCTCCCTCAAAGGACAGGAGGCAGAAAATGCAGATGCTCCTTAAAAGGCAGAAGAAAGAAGTTTATAGGTAGTTGCTACTCAGCACTGACCTAATGCTTTAAGGTGACCTACAAGTATAATTGGTCCTCTGTGCTCTTTCTCACCCCCTTTCATTATGAGTACATAGTGCAGGAGGTATCTACAAAGTCATTTCTGCAGAACATGAAACTTGTTTTCCCTGCATGTTCAAATCTGCACATGCCCCAGCAGAACACAAGACAGGTTCAGTGGCTATTAGGTTGTTAAAAAGATGGTAAGAAACTCATAATGCAGATTATGCTACAAACATAAGCTCCTCCCAGGCAAACATGCTAATCTGCACCCTAAAGATGTTTTGTAATATGCTCTGTAGCACGCAAATTTCTGCCCCAAAATACCCTAAGAAATACTCTGCTCCCACAGCAATACCCACAGCAATTCTCCATCTGGGCAGAAAAAGCTTTCATGCTGTGCTGAACTCACTACCATGGGCTCAAAGTACTCTCTGGAAATTCAAACTGCACTAGTATTTATCTGTCCTACAGGAACAAGGCACAAAGGGATGATACACTGGAAGACAGTCTAATGGACTTGACTCTTGAAGCTTCCAGTGAAGTACATTCATTTAAGATCTACATCAAATTAAAAGACAGATGAAAATAAATTATCCTTCTGCCTGGTAGCCTCCGAGAAGGCAGTCAGGATTTCAAAGCAACAATTCTTTTGTCATATCGAAGAACTCATTTTTGTTCCTGCTTTGCCACAGGGCTTCTTTCTAATGCAGAAAACATTTCATATCTGGTCACTAATGAAACTTTCAGTTTAATGCCCACTGAGGTTACAAGTGCTGAACCATAGCTGAGGTCAGCTAAAAAAGTGCTTGGAGTACACCACGTGCTCTTGCAATGCAAAATGTTTTGATAAAAGTAAAAATAATTCATGTCCAAGGCTTGCAATCAGCCATTTGATAACAGTGGGCATATCTGACTCCACAAGTCTCTTCAGCAACAACTACCTCTGCACCTCACCTCTCTGTGTGTAAAGTTAGGATAATGACACATTTTTACCATTGTGATGTTAAATTCAGCGCTATTTGTGAAGCACCCAAATGTTACGGTTGAGAGCATGACAGATAAGCAAGCATGTGAGACAAACTAATAATTTTTTATTCAATGAAAGGTTTCAATAGTATGAATTTAATAAGACCTGGCACCGCACAGTGAATAAAGAAGATAAAAAGAAATGTTGAATAGCTCCATGAAGAAGAAGATCCTGTATGTGACCAGATAATTACAGCTATATTTTAATATCTATGCACAAGAGGAATAAATTTAAGTGACAGTGAAAACCTGACTTCTGACATTCCTCTTCCTTTTTTTCTTTTTTCTTTAACACTCACTTTGTAAGCCTGACCTTCCTTCAAAACAGATAAAATATGTGTGTATATGCCTGTGCATATTTTAAAATTGCAACAGAGTAGCAGGGAACTGTTTTGGACATTCTAAACTCAAATTTGAAAACAGAGAAAGAAAAACCAAAACCATCCCACAAAGGAGGAAGAAAGCGGTGTTAATTTGCTGTGTCAGGATGCCAGAAATTCACTAATCCAGGACATTCCTTGGCATTCATTCTTTGAATTGCAGAAAGTCAACACAAAGGGTCTTATGACTCTCATGGCACTTCTGTTCCTTTGTATGATAGCTACACTATCTAACCATTTTATATTAATAGTGTGGTCTTTATTCTCTGGATAGAGTGGGATTTTTTCCTAGAGACTATGGTTAATTAATTGGTTTTGTTCTGGTTGCTGGGTAGTTTCTAATTAGCTGCTTCAGAGATCTTTCTTTGTGTGTGTCTTCCCATGGGCAATTCCAAAATGTCTCTACAGAGGCCTGTGAGCTTGTCGGGTGGCATTGGGTCACTGCTTTGAGGATCTTCCCAATAAGCTGATATCCAGAGCATTCCCAACAATTTACCTTTACCTTACCATGTTTTCTTCACTCATTACTTGTTCAGTAGGGGCACCAAGAGACTCTTTTAGAGGAATATATATAGATATATGTATATATGTATCTCCCCATATACATACACACATAAATACACATACATCTATATTTCTTTATAATATAATGGCATTGGTTACATGGTATAAAACTGAATTCTGTTCATACTGAAGGTTCCTTTTGTAGCATATGCCAAAGCAAGGGCGAGCCTATGAAACTGTATTTCTGATAGCTGCCACATCCAAGAAAGGGTTTAAAGAAGCACCATATGGATGTAACCAAAGTTTACAATTTCTGGCTGCTAACAACCAGAATTTCTAAACTACTGATCCATCTGTTTGGGCGAAAGGGTTTGCTACAAAGGTTAGTCAGCCTGTCCTGGAGGTATGTAGCTGAAACAGAGAGTATTTTTAGAAAGGCAAGCTGCAAATTGACATCATCGAAGGAAAATTGTAGTGACACATACTCTAAATAATCTAAGAAAGATACATTTGTGGGTTTCTCTATTTATTCTAATCTGTACCCTGACTACTGAAATCTGTCAGAACAAGGATGGTGCATAAGCCCCCATAAATATGGCTGAGTTGTGCAAAAACAACAGTAATCCTTATAATACACCATCTATCACCACGCTTCTTATCTCCTGTTGTGTAATCCTCTGTGCACATTAACCTCTTAGCAACATGACATGCAGAAGAAAACCCCTGAGTATTGTGAATACCCCCTTAGCAGAATTCATCCTCTATAAAACAGCAGTTTCAGTGATGTGCAGAGCAGTACTATTTCTCTCATTCTTCCACCCATGGCTCTCCATCCTCTGGGGTAGATGCCCCAAGAGCAAAGCACTCTTTCTGGTGTGCAGTGCCCTGGGAACTCTCTCCTTCTACTGTTACAAATCCTTTGCTTCAAGCCTCAGGAAGGGAAACATAGCATTTTGAAAGCCAAAACACTATATCAGAAATTCTACCCAGTAGTTTGACCCCTCAAATAGAAACGTTGTTAAGTATTGCCAAAAAGTCTTCTATAATGAAAGGATGTTCAGATTGTGGGTAAAGATTATGCTAGAAAACCAGATGCTACACAGTGGATCAGGCATTAGCACCATGTGCTTCTGACTTCACTAAAAGTGCCCTATAGGAAAGCTATTTTTTTCATTTTTGGGTCACTAAATAATAGGGTATTGTCAGAGGTCCATATGCCTTGAAGTGCAAAGTACTTTTTCATACAGCAATTTCACGTTGATATTTAACTTTGATTGTTTTTTGACATGCAGAGTAATGAATTCACAGATCAATTATCCTCTAGATTATGGTGTTAAGCATATTCATTTTTATCATATTTTTCTAGCCAGACAGACAACTCACATTGAGCAGAAGACTGAAGACATTGAACCTTCCTGTCTTGAAAGAGAAAATAAAAAGACTATTTCATTAACTTATATATATCTATATGCGTGTGTGTGTGTGTATATGTATATACACACCTGTGGAACGTTACTTTGTCAGAGCACTCACACTGGGGTGAAGAATGGAGCTTTGGGTGGTAAAAAACTAAAGGGATAAGTAGGCAAAATAGGCAAACTGCAAATACTGTTAAGGTAATAACAGAGTTCTCACCGTCCAGGTGACTTGGACTGTGGTGGGTGTCAGCACAACAGGATTGTGCAGCCGGACAATGACATCTCCCAGTTCTTTCTGGACTTGCCTGTGATCCACACCTTGTGCTGGTGGGCTGATATCTGCCAGGCACACACATGAAAGCATTATTTTAATGAGAAGAGCTATATATGGCATCAATAAAAAGTACTGATTTAAACATCCTTCATAGTTCTGTTTTTTAAAACAATACAGCACTAAGGTTTAAACACGAACTCCGAAGAATATCAAGTAATGCAAGCAAACCACTCACCTTTAGCCACTTAGGAAATAATGAAATATAAATATCTTTAAATGAGTATTGAGACTAGATGGCAAAGCTTTCTCTGCTCTAGTAAGTGATGAGAGAGATGCAATGTTCACCAGTTCCAAAACACTCAGATAATAATAATGCTGCCTAGATGCCTGGAACCAAATTGGTTAGTATAATTTAAGAAAATGAACAGGTTTCATTTTGTTTTTTTTTTTTTGTAAATTTTCTTAGACAATACATGACATTAAGTCATTATATGTTTCTAATCTGTCACTAAGCTTGCCCTCCCCACACACCATGCACACAAGAAACCAAACACTAAAAATAACATTTTCCTCTGCAAAGCAAATTTTCCCTTTACAGACACAGATAATGAAATCTAGTGCAAGTATGAAAAAAACCCAAAAGAATTAATTTAGGAAGCCAAACTGATTTTGATCTAATAAAAGGTCAAAAAAAACAATCTACCAAAAAAAATTTTCTTTTCAAGATTATGTGCCCTTCAAAGTGTGTGGGGAAATTGTTTCTTCTAGTCAAAACTGGTAGCTATTTGGTAGCTCAATATACACGTATGGAGATTTGTGATTCCAACTCCAGCACCACATGTGGTCCCAGTACCCAGTCCTTAGGGATCACATTTGGGTTGTTGTGTTAAAATGAATGAAGGTTTATATCACCTCTGCTAAACTGCAAACAGAATGTATGTGTCAGAAAATGGGGAAGGAGGTGGAAAATGTGTCTTTTTTACACTTCACCAAAAGGAGAATGCTGGGCTACAGCTATCACCCAACTAATATATCGCTGTAGCATCTCTCTTCCCTCCAACTTAGACAGAAATTAGGGGGGGATCTGGAACACAAGCACAGATTATATTCAAAAGGGCCTGACAAATTATGGTCATGCCTGTCTAGACATCTGTGAATTCTGCTTGGTTTTGCCTTGGGATTCACTAGTCAAAGACAGTTGCCCACTTTCTGGATCAACATCGTGTCCTTGTGAAGAGAATACATACATAAAACTTTTTGCCCCTCTGATGGACTTAGATGTGGGAGCAGGCATCAGGTGACTTCTTTTTATCTTCTAAATATTATAAAAAGAAGTAATAGAGGTCTTAAAAATGAAACATTTAAATATAACAACTGAGTTTGAATCACATGACTCCAGATTTTGAAAGAAAAGAATTCTTGATGATCAATATTTCAGGCTCTTAATTCTTGATTGTTATGGGTTCTGAGTCACCAATAAACAATATTGCCACAGGTTTTTATTGATATTCAATTTACAAGGGCTCCAAGGATCTCCAAAGGGAATAGAATCCAAAGATGGATGTCAGTTAAGGAGCTTGTCTAGCGAATTATATCTATTCAAAGCAACCAAGAAATAAAGAGAGATTATAAAACGAATCTGTAACTGACAGCAACTCAGATTGGTCTACAGGGTGATAATTTATGCTGCTATCCACCAAAAAGCTGTGATCCCTGCTACAAAATACCTGCATGGCTACTTTTTAGGTTTAGTTACTCTGTGGTATACAACCAGCAAAGTATCTGTATTCCCTCAGAGGAAAGGACATTTCTACATAATATCTTTGTATGAATGGCATTTCATTGCTTTATTGGGACATATGTCCAGGAGGGAAAAACATGAACTCATAACAGTGAAAAATGAGTATTAAGATGTACATGTGGAATTCTGTTTTCTGATATGCACACCTGAAAACTTATACATGTGTGACACTCACAGAGTAATGTCTTGACATTTTCACGTTTCTAGGAGGCTTCTGGTGGAAAAGCAGTTGATCTATCTCTAAGGACATCACCAAGCATTGGAATAATAAAATCATGACTTAAGAAAACTGGTTCAAGAAGCTCTGTTCTGGTCACCATTAAGAGGGTTCTAAAATAAAATTGATTAGATATTTTCTATAACCTCTCTTTTATCAGCTTCCAGTGGATGTACTATTAGTTGTTATTAATTTAAATTTCAAGGATAGAATTATTCATAGTTTCTTGAAAGTGTTTTTTTAATATATGGTTTAGTCTATTAATAATCCAACAAGAAATCAACTCCTTGGTCTATTAATAATCCAACAAGAAATCAGCTCCTTTCTTAAAGTAATTACGATTTCTCTGTCCTTTTTTGTTGTAAGTCATATAAGGTAAACCTACTGAAAGTACCTGATTGTCTACTTGTAGTCCATTGGTGAAAATATACATAAAATCTTGTTACTTGTATTTGCCATGCTTAAAACCAGGACATTAAATGTTCAGCTATTAAAGCTACCAGAGACACCTGTTGCAAATTATTATATACTGCTGCTATAGCTGCTTTGTTGTTTCTCCATGGCCACTGTGAATAGGCTTTCTACTGTGTGTCAGCTTCTTCTGTGAGCCTGAATTGAATTCAGGCATAATTAGAAATCACATCAAAACATTATGTTAATTTTCAATTGATTTTATGATTTAATTCTATTAAACTACAGGCTTGCAAAGAAGCTATAAATCCTCTACATGTCTGAGTGTGCTTGACTGCTAAACAGCTTCTGGAAATGGAAGCTGCAACACATGCTGTAGCTAATTAAAAGACATGTTTTTACTGAAATCAAATTGCTTGTCAGTATGTCAGGTAAAAAGTCTATACTTGACACTCAAATGCCAAACAAAGTTGTTTTTTTTTTAGCTAGGTGATAAGTTATGCAGACTAAAAGGCTGTTGCAATGAAAAGCATGAGTCACCCTATAATAATGGGAGAGTAATAAAGAAGAAAACTTGTGATGCTCCGTGAATAGTCAAGCCACAAAATCCCTGCACAACTCATTCCTCCAGCTTTTCAGAAAGCAGCTCCATTTCTCTTTTTCCAGTCAGAATTACTATTTTGAGTGTCTAACTATTAAGGACAGATTTATTCAGGACTAGGCTGGGATGAGAGGGGCTGTATCTGGTGGTTATATGATAAAGAAATACTACCCTACTCTTGTTTATCTCTTTCCATCTAGGACCAGTGAAGTACACAAACCACTTACACAAGCTGGATACACAAATACAAACAGAGGACCTCATTTTAAATTAACTGTGAGAAGAGCTATTGCTTTGGACTCAAAAAATTATAATTCCAAAGAATGAATAATTCCTGTATTACAGCCTGCATAAGACAAAACTACACTCTTGAATTAATTAGTCCAGCAACATCTTCTCAAAGCCAAAAAAAAAAATCCATGCTGTGCAGGGAAATTTGTTTGTGGCAGTTATATGCAGTTAGAACTTGATGCAATGTGAACAGAATTCAATAGTCAATTCAATAGCAATGGAGGATCACAGCTATCAATCATGTCACCACCCCATAAATGAGGGATTTCACTTCAACCTTCCCTCCCGGTTTATGCAGTGGATTAATATAAAGAATTCAGAAATGTAGGTATATAAATAGAATGCACTTTTCTCTGAATAACTTCAATATATTCTTAGCATGAAGATGCCTTAATTTACATGAATTCTCTGCCTAAATGTTGGATTAACCAACAAACTAGAGATATTTTGTGCTATTCTTTTGATTAAAACTAACACTAAACACAGTGTCTGCCTGTCATAAGCACCTGTTGTTACAGTACATCCCTATTATAATGATGGAGAGGAAGTAAGGACATGGAGAGAAGAGATACTGAGGAGAGCATGGAATTCAGAGAAGTTTTCAGAAAAGCTTGGTTAACTCACATTACTTTTAATAGAAAGCAGGAGCACAATGAGTCTAAGTGAATTGCAAATCAAAAGGTCTACACTGCAGGAAGGTTTAAAAAGAGAAACCATCTCTCCTAAGCTCCAGATTGATACAGCAAACATTGGACTATTTTTACCTTCATCGGTTAAGCCCGATCCATGACTCCTTCAGTCAGGCTGCTCAAGTCCAGACTGACCTATTGGTCAACTGTCAGAGCGTTCTTTTTATTTTACCTCAAGCACAGAAACCTCAACAGCCACCCTTACCTTGTGTTCTGACAGGGTCTGACATGGGGCTGGGATCACTCAGGCCCTGGGAATTGATGGCTCTCACCATGAACAGGTAGATGGTGTTGGGGCGCAGGCCCCTCACAGTGTAGAGGGTGCTCTTCACGTGGTTTGCCACGGTCTGCCAACTGTTGCTCACAGACTGACTGCAGTGAGAAGAGGGTGGAAGGTTATACACTAACGCAAGAGAAAAATTAAGGAGTGAAAGGACCTATTTTTGTAACCCGAGATCAAGCCTAAGTACAGGAAAAATTAGTAAAAGCAGGGTAGAATTAAAAATACTTGTTTCGGCTAACTCATTGAGATGGGATAAAAAAGCAACACAGCTCTCAAAAGTATTTCTCATTGCAACAGAAGCAAAACCTTTCGCTGTTTCTTTAAAATAAATGCCTGCAAAAGGAAAGTGTGGAGAGCTGTAAAGTAAATTTGAATGATAGGCTACTTCTGAACATAAGATTTTAAAAGGAAAATTCTGTTAAAATAATAAGTTTTTATACTGCTAATAAATTATGTCAGCAAGTTGTCATTGGAAGAAAAGTAGTCTCCTTGAATTAAAATCATAAAAGTTAAAAAAAATTCAGAAAACTTGCTTTTAAAGGAAGGTAAGTATATGACTTTTTTTTTGTCACTACATTTTCAATTCAACATTATTATAATTAGATTAAAATCCACCATATGAAAAGATTTCAAATGTGATTGTAAAAACAGCTTTTAATGAAAATGTCTGGCTTTTGTTAAAATTATTGATGGGATGCCATTAAAGCTTATCTAGGGAGAAACACCACAAAAGTTTAAAGAGGAAAATTTATTTTATTGTGCTTTGTTGTATAAAGTATTGATAAAAAAATCTTTAAACATATTAAGAGGAAAAAGAAAATGGAAAGCTATGAGTTCTATGTTGTTTCAATTTCTTCATTCATGCAACGCATAAAGAATAAGTTCTAGAACAAAACAAACAAACTGCACATGCAATAATGTTCCTTACATATTAACAGAGCAGAATGAAGCATTTTAGCTAAAATTTACATGCATATGATTTTGACTTGCATGAATTTTAATTAAAAGATGAACAGAAATATTTGTCATTTGTTGAATATATTGATTAAGGAAAACATTTAAGAATGTGTGGATTTTTAATCTGAAATGTGTACTACAGATCTGTTGCAGAGGTATGGCCCATGCTTAAACAAACTTGCTGAATTGGAGCCCAGGAATTCTTTTGTACCACATAGTAATTGCTGCTGTGTGGGAGGGAGCAGCTGGATTCTGTTCAGCCTCGGGCTGCAGGATAAAATCCTAAATTATCCACACTAGCCTTTTCACTTAAAAGTTTTCATCTATCTAAAACAGTAAGAAATAGAAATTTAAAGTGATTTGACTCTTTAATTGGTACTGCTTTAACAAGAGCAGGAATTAAAGTGGGCAGAGAAGTTTCAGAACCACCCACTTATTTTCATATCATTTGTCCTATGATATTCCAGAACCTGCAGCATTCCCACAGAAGACTCTCACTGACCATCAACATTAAGTAACAAATAATGACTGCATTGTTCTGTTATATTCCAGCAGAAATTTTTAGATGCTTCTCCAACTAATCACTTAAAAAAATAGATCAATTAAAAAAAAATCAGTTTAAAAAATATGAATCAATGCCTGCTATAGGAGTTGTCATTTAATGAACCTCTAATGATACGTGTGGAGTCCAAAAGAACACCACAATACCAGGAGAGCAGCTGTTACCAGGGTTTAAGCAAAATTAGAAAGAAAGGAGCTTAAAAAAGTGGAATAACTCACATACCTAAAAGCCTCAATGATATATGCACTGGCTGGTAGGCTTCCAGGGGTCCCTGGCTGCCAGGACAGGGTGACACTGTTCTTAGTAACATCAGTGACCTGAGGTTTGGATGGTGGCCCAGGGAGGTCATTTATATCATAATTTTTACTGACTGTTGCTCCACCGGATTCTGTGAAGGGCAAATGCAAAACAGTTATTTTTTATCCTTGGTTATATAATTTGATCAAAGTAGAAGATTAAAAGGAAAAAACATGGCAAACGTCTGCAAAAATCATCATAATGAATATTCTTAATCTGTAAAGAACTAAGTCAAAAATTGCACATGTTTTTGGATGAAGAGCTATCGTTCTTTAAGTACATATTGAAAGAAAAAAAATGCAAAATTCAAAAGGTTATATAAAAATATCTTTTTAAAAAGAAAAAATAAAGAACAACAAAAACAAACAAAACAAAACCAACCAGCTTTACTGAAGTTTACATCAAATACCAAAAACTCAGTTTCTAGAAAGCTGAGAAAGTTCCTGTATCCAAATCAACTCCAGTACTCACAGAGAGCACTTTGGACTTTGAAATGCCTCTGTGTAGGCATAATAGTTTTGCTGGCCAAGTCAATTATTGGATAAATCCACAGTTTATTAATACTCCTGTTTAGAAGAGTTATAGCTTCCCTCTGTCACTGGAGACAAACATAAAAACTGTTTCTATGTCAACGGGCATTTAAAGATAATAGGAATTATATGGAAGGCTTGTGAAAGAACAGAACCTGCTCATCCAAAACTCCTCCATGTCAACCCCAGAAGTTCTAGAACGGGTTATTTGACTCAGACTGCTGTGGTATGGTCTACACTTTCATTGTGTGCCAGCTGCAACAGGCCTGGACATCACTTACCTGTCACCTCCAGCACAGCACTCCAAGAGGTCTCCCCACTGGAACTTGTAGCCACGCAAGTGTAAGTCCCAGTATCGGACAGCTGGACATAAAAGGGGCATAAGGGCAGTTTTAACAACCTTTTAGAATCAGCTGAGTTTACTCTAATTTTCTTTTTCTAAATGTTTCTTGGTAAGAAGGACTTAGCCTACATTTTACATCAGACTAGAGGGCACCAGATATTTTCCAACAATCATTTAATGGTGGCTTACTTTTAGAGAACTATAATAAGATTACTTGCTTCTAATACTTTACTAATTCTAATTTTCATATTGTTAATGGTACCAGTACTGTAAATTCTACAGAATGGATGTTTTTGACAGTGCCAATGCTTCTATTGGTTACAACAATTGCAGGTGAAATCAGGTAGCAACATAACGACAATTAACCTCTTAGAGGGCAAAATCTCACCATTCATTATCCCATGATGAGCAAGAGGTACAGCTTCCAGTGCCAAGGAAGGATGTTACATCATCTTAGACTTTTATGACAGATTAAGTCATTTCTATGCAGGCCACCCCACAAGCAAATACTGTTGATGCCTAACAGTGGTTCTCTCTACACAGACAGTCCACCAAGCAATTTTCAAATAGCAAGATCAAATTAGATCCTACACCATACTTACCTTTCTTCTCTTTCACATGAGATTTTATTTCAGGCTTGCAAGGCCCTTTGGTAGCAAAAAAAAAGTGCATTGGTATAAAACTATTGTGTTTCCCTTGTCAGTTCAAATATTTTAAATTTATTTGGGGAAACTGTTTTGAATTTGATTGTCAATATTAATCTCATCACTGTATAAATTGTTCTACTAGAAAATTTGCCAGGTGTTTTCCTATTCCCTATTTAAATTTAAAATAAAGATTTCTGAGTCAGGAACTAGTGAAGACCACAGAGATGGATGGGAAACAGTAACTTTACAAAGCACAAAATATACAGAGAAGTTCTCCTACCACTATGCATAAAGCATGGTAATCTGGAGGTGGAAGCAGAAGAGGGAGAGTGCTGACTCTAATGATAAAGAAGAAGAATTATATTCACCCTCAGATGACTTGATGGAAACAGAAATGCATCCAAAAAGCTTTATTGGACTTTAAGGAATTGTAATGGGTTTTCTGTTAAATGCAGATGGTACTATAGGATATGTGCTTATACTTCACTCTTCAAGAAGAATGTGAAGACAAATAAGCAAGATATTCTTTAGATTACTTGTTGATATATAATTTAATTGATTTTTACCTTGGTCATGTTTGAATTTTGTTGGTATTTTCTTCAGATACACTGAGACTGCAGTGTACCATTCTTAGGGGAGGAAGCAACTTAAGAGGAGGAATTCTTAGAGGAGGAAGGAGGCTCAACTGCCTGAAGGAGCCTAACTTGCACTTCAGGAGATTATTTTTCTCCGTGAAACACATGCAACAGTGAAACCCCTCTGACAATGCCTCAGACACTCAAAATATAGTGGTGCTGCTGATGAAATGAGAAAGACTCTTGAAAGGAGAGATTTTCCAGAGGAGAGGGCCTTATAGCATTCTGAAGCAGTGTTTTGTTTTGCTTCCTCTGAGCTTTTATTAAATATATTATTCTTCATTACATGATAATGGGGAATATTTCTCAAGGCTATGGTTCTCAACTTCATTTGTGTGCTACTGTGACAGATGATGTATGGCACACTCAATGAAGTATGTGGTGTACACGACAGAGTAACTCGCAGAAGACAAACTCAACATATAAAGCAAGCTGGAGATACACTGCTTCTTGCAAGTTATGGCAAATTATCTGACTTCCAGACTGTGGATGGATTAGATACACACATAATGTGTTGATAATTCAATTATTTATACTTCTTTTTTTGTACCATGGAAAAAACAATGGGGAAAGCAAATGGAAAAATGTTTGCTATTCAGTAAAATAAACAGTTTTGTTCCTTAATTAATGCAGGTGCCCAAACCTGCTGTGGTAGATTCTGTGGAGCAGAAGGGAGATTTCCATAAGTGTTGAGCTGTCTGAACAGGTACTGAGTGAGCGACGTAGGTGAGTTTTCAGTTATTTTCCTCAGAGCAACTGGAAAGATTGGCTCATCAGAAAAATCTCTATGTTCATACATATCACTGTGGCCCATGTGACTGCTGCAGGCTGATGAATAACTTAATTGTGATGTAACAGAAAGAGCTACATAGCAGAAAATGACCAGCTAAAAAGGGACCTTAAAGATCATCTCTTTCCAACCCCTCTGCCATGGGCAGGGACATCATCCACTAAACCAAAGCTGATCAAAGTCCCATCCAACCTGGCCTTGAACACTTTCAGGGATGGGGAATCCATGACTTCTCTGGGAAACCTGCTCCACCCTGACAGTAAAGAATACCTTCCTGATATCTAATCTAAATCTACCCTCATCCAGAAGGCTGAGGACATGTGGGTGACAAATACTAACTTATTTGAACTCGGATATTTTAAGTGTACTCGGACGTTTTCATGGCCATTTTTTGCTCAGGAAGTGGTGCTAGTCCTTGCTCAGGTAGGCCTGAGAGAAAAGTTAAACATCCTACTCTTAAATTCATATTTAATTCACAAAAATTGCAAGGGACAGGAGAAATCTGCGGTTTATGGTCCTGTGTAGTTTTTGTTCTTGAATCTGAATGCACTGCTATAGAAGGGTTTATAAAAAATGCCTTTCTGAACCTCTAAGGAAAATTGGTTAGTAGTGAATGAGCCACTTAAGGATCAATAAAAGCCTCATGTCTTTCAAAACCACACTCACTACTAATACTGTTTTCTTCTCCCCTTGCAAGCAAATTTTTTTCCCTTTAGTTTACAGACTTCGGGCCTCTGACAGCGAGATTAATGCGCCGGCACGATTCAGAACCAATTTCATTGTTTGCATAGCTGCATGCAGACAGGTATCCCAGGAGCTTCTTCCTCATGGACACTCCACAGAAGCCCATCATCAGTGCCTGGAAGTTTGTTTGAAATCACTAAGCCTCCACCTTTAATTGCTGCTTTCTAACACTACTGGGGAATCTTGACTATTCAAGCGCGCTCTTTAATCCAGCTCTACAGGAAAAATGCATTAACCTTCATGGCCTAAACCTGCCTTCAGCCTAGGGAGGAAGGATAAATTGTTTACTCAAGGAAAGCTAGCATAAATTTTTTAATAAATTCCATTTTGTTCCAAGAAAGTTCACAATTCATCTACGATCACTGATGAGAAGGTATCAGAAAACAAAACTGTTCTTTATGTCTTGTCATCAGTAGCTAGGTTTATTGACTTTTTCTGGATGGAAAAGCCAAGTGCAGAGATTTCTGCTGATGAAATTAAGTCATTTCTGAAATTGTCTTTAAGTTCTTGACAAATAAGGACATTTAACTTGCTATTTTTCCATGTGCATGCTTGTCCAAATACGCACAAACAACTAACATGTGTTTATCTTTGAATAGGGAAAAATTAAAAGCCAAAAAAATAGATTAGTGATGCAATATTTATCAACCACATGGGACGTTATGCTATTTGGAATATTATAATATCATGTGTTAAAATGTAAACATTACAATAGGTATTTATTTTGAACAGAAATCCTGCTGCATATGACTTCATGTACTAGTTGTCTTTTGCCATTTGCAGCCTGGTGGAATACTTCCAGCAAGCATAACATTGGAATAAATCATCCAGTTCAGGACTGACAAGACTTATTGATGGAGAAAGTGCGTGGTTAAACTCTGATGAACTCTAGATCACGTGCTACCACTACAAGTCCTTGGAAAATTATGATCAGGTGTTGCCAAGGAACTGCTCTAAGTTTAAACAGAGAGGCCAATGGCTTCATGGTAAGACTAACTGAAAAGACAGGAAGGACTGTCCTTTTATATTTCTATCCATATCCAACTCATGTGTTTTCCTGAAACATACATAAGATTTTAAACATCAGTTCTATTTTTTAGGGAATTCTCATTGAAATATCTGATACTAGTTTCACTCTTCTCTTTTTTCCCCCCTTCCCTACACAGTGTCAAAGAATGAAACAGGGCATGGACTTGGAGAGAATCGTAGGGCAAAAAAGACAAGTTAACCTTGAAGACAAGGGGGAGGCAGCAGAGCTGCTCCAGGCACACGCCAGCAGGTCGGAACCAGCCGTGTAGAACCTGTCACGCCCGCTTGGTCACCGTCACTCACCCGCAGCGCTTTGATCTGAAGCGTCCCCTGGTCCTGTATGGACGTCCGAGGGTCTCGGCCCAGGAAGGTGAATCCTTCTTTCAACCAGCTGATGACAGGGAGGGGGTCGCCGGTGGCCTTGCACTTCAGCAGAGCTGTGCCATCCACTGCCAGCGTCTGGTTGATGGGTCCCTGGAGGATGATGGGTGGAGGCCTATCTGTCAAGACTAAACAGCGACAGCCACACCTTTAAAGATCCTCTGCTCCAGTGAGCCCTGTTCCTTCACACAGCACCGATTCTAAGAGACTAGTTTAAGGCAGCATCCAAGAGGTTAAAGACATTGTTTTTGGAAGACCCGTACATGTTAACATGTTAACATGGCATATTTGAAAAGTACTTTTGTAAGGATTTTATTTCACCATTGCGAGACAACACCTAGACATGTAAATTTCTGTCAGCAAAGATCATCAGACTCATTTGGTTAACACAGGATGAAAATTAAGACCTTGATTCGGAAAAGAATTGAAGTGCATCACTTATTTCTTCCAATTTAGGAAAGCACTTAAAGCACACATTTGATGTCACATCAAAATGTGCTTAATTGCTTACCTAATTTATGGCCTAGAAGAGAAAATCTGTTAAGAGTTCAAAGTGAAAAACTAACACTATTATAGCGTGGGTACCAACCACATCCCCAGTCCTGCTCAATTTGCAAGTTTTCATCTGCAAAAATACCTCACAGTAATACAAAACATCTTCACAATCTGAGTGATCTAAATGACTGTACCACTCTTTCCAGCGGAGAAAAGCTCAAACTCAATCACACCATTTAAAAGCTTACTTATCAAATCATTTCATCACCTTTTAAAGCCATGAACTCTCTTAATTTTTTCCCCTGATAATTTACATTTGCATGCTTGAAACACTGCTTAAAGGACTCTGCAACCAGTGAGTGTGTGGTTCTGTATAAACCCCATTCCATGACCAGTGGGACACCCTGAAGATGAGGTAAAATGCTCATGTTCACTTTTCTTGAAAGATCATTTTTGATAAATTATTCTGCTTGTTGAACTTATCCTCTGAGCCACCTGTTAAGCAGCAAAATATAACTTTTTGTTTCTAAAGAATGTGTTTATACAAAACGAATGTGAAATACTTGAATATAAATAAACAAGGCTTTGACTGTTGCATAAAATCAGTATAACAGAACTGAGTATTCATTTTTATATATTTACCTGCCACATTGCTACTGTTTTAAATCTTTGAACAACTGAACAATTATGTGATTAGTATTAAATATTGTAACAGGTAGGATTATCTTCTAAAGCAGTGTAAGTTAGTCTCCCTCTGCTGATGTCAATTGAGTTTGAACCATTTATTCTAGCTGAAAATCTGTTTGTCACAGTCCATAGACAACATTTGACTCTGATAAAGAAATGGAAAGAAATTTTTACAAAGCAATAAGGTTTCTGTTGTATTTGAGCTGTTTGAGATGCAAAGGTCCCTCTGGAACCTTCAACAGATCCAAAGTGCTTTCATTACGCTATTTAATAAATAAAAATATTAGGGACATGTTGGTGGTACATTTTATACCTAAAATAATTGTTTCTGAAATTTGAATGCTACAAAAATACAACTACCCTGTTTTGTTAATGAGATTCACAAAGGACAGAATCATTAGTATTATCAGAATCACACCTTGCAGTGTGAGTTCATCACATTTATTGAAATTGAAACTGAAAATAGAAGCCAATAAAGACTATTTATTAACACCGGAATGTGAAAGTTATTTTGGAAATTCTGAAATATCACCCACTGAACTCAGAGATAGGACAGCAAACACTATGTTACAAGAACAGAGAAAATGTAATGCATTTTCACCTTAATATGAAATTTTTTATCTCATTAAGGTTCCTTATAACTACACAGTGCAGCCATTTGGTGAGATACAAACTGATCTCATCTCCTGTGTACTATAAGGATACCTGCAGCACAAGTATATTCAAATGAAAATTTAACTGCAAGTTATCCTTTAGATTTAATGTAAAACAGGACATCTAAGTATTTTAGGCAGCTAAAATTTAAGGAAAAATTACTATTTAAGTTGCTAACTATTCTATCGCAGTTATTTGCTTCACCTAATTGTTTTTCACATGTGTAGCAATGTAGGTATTTTCAAAACCTACTGCATTACAGATATTGTTCTTTGGCACGTAATTAGTTTTTTTACAGCACAAATGAGGAGCTCATAATCCTTTAAATAGCTCTGATCAATAGTGTAATTGAAAGTCTCCTGGCCAGAAGGAATCTTCATTTTCAAGGGTGTCATGGGTGAAAGACCACTACAGGTTTCCATGACACTAAGGCTAAAGGTTAAATGAACACTTAGGGTTTCCACTGATCTGTAAATGACTGTATTGTCTTCACAACTAGGACTTGTAAATCTTCCATAAAACCTCTGTGGGTGCTTGTGTTCCTACCTCATTAGTAAGGATCCAAAACTTGCTTAGAGGTTTAAAAACATATATCATAAACATTCTGAAGAACAGAGAGATAATGAAAAATATCCATAAAGTGGTGTGGTGTTTGTTAGTTGCTTTTAAAATATTTTAATTTATTACTTTTTTTTCACTTACAGGAAACTTTTACATCCATTCCGCAGGAACACTGTCTGTGGCTAGAAATATGTTTGCATGGTAAATCAGAGGTTGATTTCAAAATTAATTTAATTTAAAAAATGGATTTGAAACTATTTGCCAGTATCCATATATTCTTATAGTCTGGTAACTGAAAAACTAAAATATTTCTTTTGTGATAAAGTGCCTCTTAAAATTGGAACAGATTATAGAAAAAGAATAAATTATACTTGTTAATTAACAGTTTATTCACTAAAAATGCAATTTGGATCAACTGAAATCATGTTTAACTTCGAGTGGAATGTGGTCAAATTACAACAGGAAATTAAAATAAGAGAATGACAAAATGAAGTCTTTACTTTTTCACTTCCAAAATCAAAATTTCAAAAACTTTCTTGGTGAATTAATGGAGAAAATCAGACATAAGTCATGATAAATACTAATGTAATAGGGTAGGGCTAGGATTAGGTTGGAAAAGCAGAGACCAATCCTTCTGTCTTTTTTTGCAGAAGAGCTTCACAGGAGGCTGTGACATTGTTCTGAATCTATCCTGTTTGAGACTGTCACACTTGTTACAAAATATTTAATATACATTTGATGAGGGTTAAGAATCATGGTGGCCAGATTTGCAGGCAAGTAAACTGTGAGTAGAGGATTTAAGAGAGAGATATCCCAGAGTATTCAATGGATCTATAATAAAAAAAAAATTGCAAAGGAGTTTGGGCAAAATGCCTCAAGTGTCTGTCCCAAATCAGTGGAGAGTGGGCTGTTGAGGTATGCTGCCAACTCCTCCTCTTACTTTTTTTAGTCTATTCTGAATTATCCTTAAAGATCCAGCCTTTTGCTTTATTGAAAATCCCAGAAACACAATGTTTTAAATTAATTTAATATCCTAAACCGGTTCATTTTTATGCTGTCAGAAAAATGCATGCTGTGAGGCTAATCTTTTCCTTCCACCCCAATACTCACCCTAAACAGCAACTGCTGGGTAAACTGGACAAAGCATGATCTTACAGCTGCACATGCATTTGCCACAATTTTTATTAATAAGTGTTAAAGATTACTAAAACTAAGGAGAAATTCAGATCTTTTCCAAAATATTCTGTGCATGATGGATAAATTTATGTAACTAAATACTAATTGTAAACTATTCATTTTATGCTGAGCACAGACATAGATGGAAGCATTTGGTTTATTTCCAGGATCTGTCATTTTAAGACTGTGAGCTGTATATTCACTTCTTGAGTTTGAAAGGATTGCTAAGATTGTTCAATTTTTAAAATGATTTTGCTTTTCCAGATGTGCATTAGACAGTGAATTACATGATAGCCTTTCAAGAAAATACAAGATTTGAATTTCAAATACACCGAAGGCTCTTAGCACAGTCCATAATCAGCAAAATTATCACTCAACTCAGCACATTTCATCACAGCTAGTAATCTCTTCTCATGTGAACACTTGAGTTAAAAATATTTCCAGTAAAGACTTGTAAGTGCAAAAATGTTAACAACTGAAACACTGCTATATATGGTATAATTAAGCACTTGTTTTTCTGCACATGACATGTTTTCATTCTGTATTGGAACTTCAATTGGATCTAAATTACTCTGGATCAAACAAAAATGTGTTCAAAATGAAAAAGATGGCTCGCCACTATTATTAAATCATTAACCAAACAGAAAAATTCTGGGCTATGAAGTAAAACTGAAATCACCAGCCAAAAACTAGAACACTAATGCTTAAGTATATAGCTAACATGCACAGTGTTTATCTTTTATTATATTTTTAAAACCATTAAGTTATATTTCCCTACTGATAAAAATCATTAGCTTCCTTAACTTCTGCTCAGCATCAACCAAAATAGATTATTTCGACATTTATGGGTAACTTCCTAACTAAAAGCAATTAAAAAAATATCTGTGATCTAATGGTAGATTTATTTATATAATCTCAGTTCCACAATGTTGTTTTGGCACTTTTCTTCTGACCTCAACTGCCCTTTGACTCGGGGATGAAATGGTATTTCTATAAAGCAATTTTGTATTTTTTTCATAATGATCAGGCTGCTGACAGTGGGTTCTGGAAAGCATTTGAAGAACGCAGGCCTTGCACTCTCTGAGCAGCAGAGCCTCCAGCTAATGCTTTCTCCAGCAATGTGAAATGCACACTGCCTTTAATCAGAATTAGCTGGAGGTGAGTTTGCATTTTAGCAGGGACACTTTCCTCTAATAAACTAACGAAAATTCCAAAGAGATCAATTGGGATTTATTTTTTTTGCCCTGCACAAGAAATGGACCACAGGCCTTGCCTGTCAAAAGGAAGAATTTCTCACCACTTGTGTCCTTGAACCTGATTTGATCCACTCAGCGCCTGTTGCTGTAAATCTGTGCAGCATCAGCAGGTGCAACCATTAACAGCTCAATGTCCTCTCAGCCAGTGTTTGTGTGTTCTATTTATTCCAATCACAGTCATGGCCCTGAGTCAGGCAGCACTATGGACAGATATTACAAAATACTGCCTTTCCATTAATTTTAAACGACCTTTTAATCTACATTTAAATTTAAATTGAATGAAAATGCATCATTTTCTCTCAGACCACGAGAGAAAGGACTTAAAGGGATCGCAGAGAAAAGCCAAGCCTTTAGTGTCCAGAAACTACAGAAAAGCAATGTGCTTGAAGAGATGTGAGGATAAGGCAGAAATTATCTTCCCTTGTCATAAAAATATAGGCAGCTTTTGGAAAACAAAGAAAAGGCATCAAATTAATGCTCAAACCTCTATAACATGAGCCTGAACCTCTCTACCTGTCACTTGTGATGAATATGCTCTTGTGAAAAGGCAGATTATTCAAAATTAGACATCTTTTCAAACTTTCATGGTGCAGGCAGGTCTCTAAGGGAACAGTAAAAGTAGACCTCTGCATATAACAACAGTTTTAATGGCAAAAATTCATCAAAGTCTGTCAGGAGATATTTAATGTGTCAGTTAAGATAAGGAATAATGATGCCGGGGAATGCCACAATCTCCTGGTATAAGAGGAATTCTACTGTTTTCCTCACTAACATTAAAGGATGCAAACTGCCTTCTATCCACAAGAGGATGAAGAGGGATATCAACAGGATTCCTGACATATGAAAAGGATTCATGTTTGGAGACGGAGTAAGGTAAACTTCAAGGCAGGATAAATTTCAAACCCCAAAAATTTGAAATGGAAAGCATCAAGACAGATGCTTTTCCTTTCCTGAAAACTCCTCTCTAACTTCTCATTTTCATGGCTTTTTTCACACGTAACCATACAAGGAAATTCTTAGAACACAGCTCTGAGGTAGGTGCCTTATTCACAGAGCGACTAAAGGGCTGCATGTAGCTATTCCAAACCAACAGTACTCCACTACGTTCAAACAACTGCCTTGGTTTAATTGAGCTGAGGACACATTCCCAAACTAGCTGTGTAAGATGGTAGTGAAGACTGTTGGGAATCAGGACTAATTTTTTTTTGCACCCCAATTCACTGCTTTAATCATAAACCTATTCATTCTCCACAATGTTTTCTTGCAGTCATGTCTTAGCTCTAGCAAACCAAGCAGCTTCCTTTCTCACCAACCTTATTTTAAGCCTGTTTTTCCCTTCTTTTCATTGTTAAGGAACCTTCAGAAAGCAAGCAAAAGGCAAGATAGGCCTTGATGCCTTTTTGACTCCACAGACAAGTGCACGGAGATCCTTTTCCATTTTATTTCCTATATAAAACTGTCCGTTTCCTTGTATGAATTACGTGATCTCACATGCCTTTATTTACACTGCTTTTAAAATACTTTTGACAGGGAAAAAAAAACCAATGGGAATTTCTAATAGCTCACCATCAGTAACCTCCAGCTGAGCCTTTGCTAAAATGCTTCCAGCAACCGTCAGTGCTTGACAGATGTAGTATCCTGCATCCGAGCGCTGGATGTTGGTAATGGTGAGGTCTCCAGTCGGTGACACCGAGTATCTGCTGTTGGGCTGGAGAGGCTGGTTTGGGAAGAGTAGGTTCTGCAAAGACAATTCATCAAACATCAGTTCAAAACACTAAAGCACCACTTTTCCCTCAGCTAGAGAGGTGAGGATTTTTCCCTTAAAAGTACTATAAATAAACCAGAAGGAAAAGTAAGGCTTTATGAACACATAGAGCTGGCTTTCCCTGCCTTGGGCAACTTGCAGTTTAAATTAGAAACAGCCCTTTGACAGCACACAGTGCTGTGTTCTGGGGGTGTAGGCGAGGAGACATTTTCCAACAATCACACTGGAGTGATTTATATTTGTGACACATTCATCTTCTTTCTGAATGTAATTGTAATAATATACTTAGTTTGGCTATCAAACCAGGAGGACATAACACTACAGTAAACATTGGAAAGCTAGCAGAAAAAATTGACTCCTGGAGACTTGAGGGAGCATAGTACTATTGTCTGGCTGTTAATATGTCCTGGGCAAAGGAGAAAGTAAGAGTAGGGCACTGAAGTAAAGCTGGGAGGAAGACATGACCAGGTCATAAAGTAGGAGAAGCTGGTAGAGCATGAGAGCTCAAAGGAGAAGTAAAAAGAAATTAAAACTGAGATATACCAAAGGAGAAATGCATCATGGAGCCTTGAGGGTGAAGAGAAAGGGTATTAATCTGATGTAGAAATCATCAGAGAGAAAGAATAATTTCATGTAGGATAAGACATCAGTTAGCAAAAAACAGGGAGATTAGCTTTTGCCTTTGGGCTGGATTGGAGAAAAGAGAGATGTCAATAATAATAGCTGGAATGGCTGTAGTAGTCATTGCATATGATGAAGGAGTGAATGAATCAATACTGAAAAGGTTTTAGTAGTGAGGGCTGTGTTTTCAAGGAAAAAGTTATACTATCTGGCACAGCTCTTGTGAATATATAAGAACAGGAAAAGGAAAGCAATGCAAAGGGAAAGGTCAGCAGCATTGCCCAATGAGGCAGAAAGGAGAACAGCTTAAACAATAATTAAACAAAAGTAATTCCAGTAAAATAGGATCTGGCTTTTATGTCAGCTCAACAAGCCTCTATGAAAAATACAGTTGTTTGCAGCAGGAATACCCCAAAACACTTAACATGCTGTGATAAGCTTTCAGTCATTACTGCAGCTCCATATAGCTCTGCTGTGCTTTCTAATGATGATTCCCTACTAACTTGTAAGCTTGTCTGTATGGGCTAAAAATAGAATCTAAAAGTGTAGAATAGGGTATTAAGTGAATTTTCTGCAGACCTTAATGGTTTACAAAAAAGGATTTGGAATTGATAAGCAACAAACTGCTTAAGAAACAAATAAGAATTCAAATAAGAAAGAAATTCTGCTTTTAAGTGAAAGTCATGCCTTTATCTCTATGGTTTTGGCAGTAAAAGGAAAGTGATATGCTTTAAATAAGATCCGATGCTCTAAGTATCCTTATAATCGTATTAACCTATAGGATACTTGTCACCCTAGGCTTTTCCCTTGCCTTGTTTCAATGGCAATGTTCAAGAAATTTATAACAGCAGATTTTTTCCTCAAAAATCAATATGCACCCAGTAAACATGTCAGATCCAATAGGAAAAAAGTGTTAAAATTCTGAAGCAATTTCAGGCTATGGGACTGAGTGGGTCTCAAATAATTGCCTTGTTTTCTGAACTGCCTTGAAACTTTCAGAATAATTTCTGCTTGGCACAGATACCTACTGAATGAGGGTATTATGAAAACTTCACTAAATTTTATGAGAAAGTGGAGAATTTTGGAATGGCTGATCTTGACTCCAATTATCACTCATTATGTAAAGTGTATAAATAAACACAATGTAAAAGACAGTGCAAGGATCAAGCTCCTAATTCTTAGGAGAAAAATAATCCAGAATCTTCTTTATCACTGCATTAGGCAGTCCTTTTTGTCTTCAGCATGGGCCTCTCTGTTCTGGAAGGTGCCATGTTCCAGTAAATATTCCACACATCAGGAGGAGTTCACCAGTCTCATGACTCCTCTCTTCAAAGACCAGATAACTATAAACTGTAACTTGTCCTAAAACCTCTTTTTTAAATGCTTTTTATAATTTCACTATTTTAGTCAGCTGTCGGGTTGCTCATCTGGACACAGATGCTGGGTTGTGAAAAATGGGACCAAAGACATCCCCGATAAAGTACCACTGAATTTATCTCAAGGAAGAATTTAATCCACAGAGTCTAAAGATTACACACACCCTTCCCTCATGCATTTCATTGATGGGTGGCTGTTGGGCTCTGGGAAAAGGCCACCAAGCACAAAGGGCCAGCTGTTTATGCACAGCCTGGCACAAAAAATTACTCAGGAGGGAACAGCTCCCCTCCCTTCCAGCTGGTTGTGCTCAAAAACACAGGATCGAGAAATGGAGTCTCAATGAAAAATGCCCCACAATTACTGGAGTGGGATAACACGACTACATAACACTATTTCAAACTCTAAAAGTGGAGCTGCAAACAGTTCCCCAAGTAAAAGCAGAAGCAAGCACTGTAGAGACAAGAAACAATTTATAGCTGGGTATGCAAAGGTGAAAAGTCACGTAATTTGGCAAAAACACCACCCTCCATTTGTATGATGATATACAATGTGTGGAAACTCACCTCCCTTATGGCATCTCACTGCAAAATCTGGCAAGTTATATAGTGAGAGGGTAACCCTAACCTGTGTTATTTCACTGATGATCAATCGAGATTAGCAGGAGGCTGTTGTAAATCACACTGTGTTTGAAGGTTTGATTATAAACCATGTAGGTATCAATTTTTATGTTGCATTTATTTGCCAAAAAAGACTATTCTAACCCTCGGGGATCTGTTTCTCAATATGGTAATTAATTTTCCAGGTTTGTAATTAAGCAGCTTCAACATGGTACAATCAGTAGGTAATAACATTCAATTAAAGACACAAGATGCATTTTCACCTTAAAATGTTTTTACCCTTGAAGTGATAGAAATGGAAGAGGATAAAATAGAGTATTAACACTTTTCAATTACGCTAAATGACTTTAATCCTGCAAATGATGTCCTACTTTAATTAGAAGCTCTTCTCTTTATTACAGCATGATGGATGTCCACTTTATTAGATTCAAGTGTGACACTATAAGCTCACTTTACATAAACATTACCATGTTATTAAAATGCTCTACAAGGAAGGGTTTTGAAATGTCTGCTAGCACATCACTACTTCCTACTTTAATTTCAACATACTATTCTACTTTCCCCTTGGAACAATTGCCACCTTAGTCAGACTCACAATACTTTGCTTTTCCAGGGTGTGTGATCCATGGAGGCAAAATCTAAGTTTCTCCAAATATTACACTGAGAGATACTCACTGAAGGTTAAGCTTACACTCAGACAAGCTTATTTTCATAAAGCACTAGTGTTGTATCTTTGTAAGCCACAAAGACAGCAGAGCACAAAATGCTGTCAGCCTGGTCCTGTCATTCTGGAATAGCTTTCTGATCTCATGAGAAGGTGAAGGAGAAGCAGGTGGGGCAGAGCAGGAGATCTGTGGTTCAGCTCTTATCTCACATTTTAACTGAGCTTGTGCACAGTGCCTCCAGATCTGACAAAGGGCACGTCTGCACTGCACAGGACAGTGTGGATACGTGAGTTAACTCACATGGGGGAAAGTAGCACAAGGGTCTGAAGAGACCAACCTGCCAAAAGAGAAGGGTATATTGCATAGATACACAGACAGGTGTAGCCATGACAGGGTTCATCAGGGAGTTGCAGAAGGCACTGTCCTTGGGCATTCATTTGGCCCTTTTAATCTTTTCTCAGGTGCAAAAGAGAATACAGCACGTAGTTTTTGCAGTGTTCAAATTTAACATACTAACATGAACTGCACACTCAAAGTGAGGAGGCCTGACTTCTGCTGTAACAACATGCCAATGCAGCAACAGCAGTAAAGAAATGTTATGATGTGACATTCAAACACTAAGCTGTAGAAGCCAGTGCTGGCTGATGGCAACGCCCATCGCCACATCACAAATTCTGCCTGCAAAAAAGATCAGGGAAATATTTCCAAAACCAGATCTGGCAATTTCCCGGGACAATTTTACTCAAGAAAGCACCTGCGTGTTCAAAACCTATATCTGTATGCTCTAGGAGAATAAGCCAATGCAAATCAGCTTGCGAGATACACATCTGCCTGATCACGTCTAGACAGGTTGTGAACTGTAATTACTGACTCTGATTAGTAAAAAATTGAGTCATACCTTTTTTTATCTACTGTGCTTGTCTCACCCACCTGTTTGTTGGGGGTTTCAGAATGAAAAGCCTTTACTGTTGCTTTCTGTACATCTGCACAGCACCCTAGCCCAAGTTTCAATGACTTGAATGGCCTTTGTATTCTTCATAATATCAATATTTTAAAAAAAAAGGCAGCAAAAATTTCAGTACAGAATAGTGATAGTTTAAAAAGACAAATTCCTGTGAAAGATTAAGAGAATCTGTAAAAGGTAATATAAAAAATTCTCCTTAAAATTTCACAGTATAACTATTTAGAAAGGCTTGAAAGACTTATAGGGTGCTTACAGCTTACCTGACTTCCCTCTTTTTGCCAGAAAACAGCTGGCTGGGGATTTCCTTTAGTTTCACAAGGAAAAGTCACTGTTCGACCTTGGGCTACAATCTGGTCTCGTGGTCTCACCACAAACTGTGGAGGAGCTACAATGTAAGAAAAAACATAGTGTAAGTTTAGCATATTTTGCAAGGGAGAGACAGGGAATACTGAAGGAAAGAGACAACATTATGGAGATTTGTTTTATGTCAGAGGACATGACACCAGAAACATTAATTAGTATAGACAGAATTAATATATAAACAAACAACAACAGCGACAGAAAGAGCAGCAATATATGTACGTGACATCCCCAGTTATTAAAAAAAAATAAAAAAGGAAATAAACATTACAACCATACATGCTAGAGTCAATTCTGATGACAATAAATGCTAAGGAGCACAGTCAGAGGTTTATATTCCCGGCTCTGGATGTATTCTACCTTTGGTCTGGAAAGGTACCTGCACTCTCATAGCCTCTTATGCTTCACAGAGCTATCATGTGTTGCAAGTATGAATTAGGATGAACAGACTGTCTTTCTCAGTCTAGCCCTCTAGACTTTTTCAAATGATTGAGAAAGGAAAGGAAGGTCTGGATGACAGCAGAAGAACAGAAGTTCAAGAGCTCTCTCAGTTCTCTTAGAGGCAGTGTGGTCAAGAATGGAGTGGGAAGGAGGAGTTGCAGTAAAAAGAATGGTTGATAAAACAACATAAACTTGGGAAATCCAGATTTTGGCTTGTTTAAAGATTAGAAGGAAGCAAAAGTTGAAGAGTTAGTGGGCAGAAGTGAGTGGTGAGTGAGAAGGAATATGTATTCCAAGAGATCAGGAAGAAACAAGGAAAAGAAAAAAGGAGACTGGGTTCAAAGTGAGAAAGAAGAACCAGGACTGGCTATGTTTTCAAGTAGCTGGCATTAACAGTGTTCAGACATATGGGACCAGGAGGCACAGTCAGAAGTGAACAATTTCTAAGAGAGAGGAGTAGTTTGACTTGTACTGGAAGGTACTGACGGAGAATAGAGAGTCAGTACTTGGTAGGAATGAGAAGGTAGAGAAAAGGTGTTAATGTGTAGAAAGAAAGTGAGGAAGAAGCAGTATCAGAGCATCTGAGAGAGAAAACTTGATATTAGTGACTATGTTGAGCATGATGTAGTAGTAAAGCAAATGGCTTTTCTATGAGTGATATGAAAACCCTCCAGTCTTGGTTCATCACTGAAGCTGGATCTGTACTATTTTGCATATCTTAGAATTGCAAGCAGTGTCTCCAGATATTCTTATCAAAAGACTAGCTAACTTTTGGGCCAGGCTGAGGAAGGGGACAAACCAGTAAAAAAAAAAAGAAAAAAAACAAACAAAAAACATTTTCTTCTATTACATTATTGGTTTTGTGGTTGTGCAGAGGGATGGCTTAGGAACACTAAGCTTTTAGGTAAACAGAATTTAAGTGTTTTAGAAAACCGTATTTTCACCATTATAATTACAAACTATTTAATTAGGCACGAAGAGCAATCAAGACCCAGCTTCCGATTACACCTGCTGACAGCACAGACACAAATCTGCTAACTGCATAGAAATGCAGGCAGACCTGATTTTTTTTGAAACACATTTTTTTTTGATCTCCTGAGGTACTTCCCGAGGCTTTACAGATCAGCAGGAGTCTAAAGAGCATCAGTTGAATAATGCTGGTATAATGCAGTCTTTAAAACAAGAACTACAAAGCACTTTATAAACATGAAACACCATAAATTTAAAAGGGAGAGAGTATTTCTTCTGCCTCACACTCCTAAACTCAGATTTTGGCCTTCTGGAAAAAAGTGTCCACCTCTTCCTCCACCTCAGCAGCTGTTAAATCATCTAAACAGGCAGGGACAAAGGCCTTAGTGCCCTGCTGCTGCCTGTTTATAGCCATATGTTCTGAGGTTTCTATAAGGTGTGTCTATACATACTCTAGGAAGTGAACTCATGCTATTCTGCTCTTAAAGTGCTGAGCTGCAGCGAGTTACTTGTTTTTCCCTCACCTGGTTTTACCAAGCAATCTGTATGCAACAAACACCTACAGGTGTCAGGAAGCAGCAGGGTGATAATCAGTGCATGTGTTAGCTCAGTCAGTCACACAGGAGGAGAAAGAGAGAGAGACCTTTAAGCTGCAAAGTAGAAACCTCCCCTTCCTTAGGCATATCTTAGGTATCTCTACAGTTCTGACCACCTACTTAAAAAAGGTCACTGGGCTAGCCCAGTGTTTGCTGCTCAGCCACAGAAGTTCATTGCCCAGGATATCAATATAGAATCAACAGCAACCTCAGGCACAGAGAGAGAAGAAAACCTCTCCAGGTGTTATACCTTGATTTGACAGGAGCGACGCATGAGTCCTATGTCTATGCTGCCTTATGGGTGGCCTTGAGACCACAATCTTTCTGTTGTGATGCTAAAAACCTGGTGCCAGGAGACCATCCCATAGATAAAACCTAAGCATGATGGATGCCCAAGATCACTTTGTAGGCATGCTTGGTGCACTGGAGGTATGTCATACAGGCAGTGCTCTGAGGCGGCTCAACAGCAGCAAGAAGGGCTCGGCGTTTCCATGAGCCCATCTTTCAAGTCATGTAACTGCATAAATGCAAGGCAGGCAAGTTTAAGGGTTCATCTGAAACACTCTCACACACACAAGGCTGTGTTGTAAATCAATAACTCCAAGCTCTGAGCAGATACAACAGAACCAAATTTGTTGCTTTCCAAGGATCAAATTAAGATAATTGGTAGTCAAGGCACAATGAGAGATATACATCCTAGTTCCTACCTAGTTTCCAGTTTTTGACCTATCCCTAACTTTGAATATCCCTCACATTCCTAAGAGCAGAAAAACGATCTTTTTTTTCTTTCTTTTTTTTTTTCCTTTTTTCCAAAAACAGAAAAGGAAAATAAGTCTGTAGCTCAGACAAGGATGGATCCTGTTTTTCCGTTCACTGCCTTCCACACACCAAGTCCTTTCCAGCTTTTGCCATACTAAATGAATAGAAGATCTGTGGCCTCATAGCTACTAAGTTAACCCTTCTAAAGACCCCAGCAAACAACAATATCTAGTTATGCAATCATATATTTTCTAGTTTCCTCTGCAGCCATAATTAATGGAAATTTACTATTAAAAAAATAAATGGAGCTTTTATTCACATCAGAGTTTCTTCAGCTAAACTATTTAACAACATAATCTTAAATAACATGAGAAACATAATTTTGGAAAAATAAAACATTGTGTGAGTTGTTTGGGTTTTTTTAACTTATTCAAAGACAGGGTTCTATAATGAAAGAAACCCTCCTTTTGTTATAGTTTGTTGTCATATTCAGCTATAGCTCTGTTTATAGACAGACTCTGATTAAAATAATAATTTATAGCATTTAAACAACATTTTTACCATATCAGCTTTATTTGTCAATTTCTAGTCAAACAGTGCAATTTGAAAAGTGAAAGTAACACTTAATAATTGCAGGATAAATTCTTGGTCAAGTATAACTACCCAAACACTAAGACATTATCTCCAGAGAATTCAGTGTGACCCTACTCAGAGACAGCAAGGCTTCTTTGACAGAATAAGCACTTGGGCTCTTCAATTTTCCTAAAAGCAGAGCTTATTATGTTCATATATAGATGCTGTTTATAAAGGTGGATAAATATTATTACTTCCACTTTGCAGAAAGGCCAACTGATATCATGACTTGCTCAAAGCGTAGCTTCAGGGGAACGTTGGACAAAACTTATTCCAGCCATTATTGCTGCTCTCAAATTAGGTGAATTTTAAAAACATTCTGAAAAGGTACAGTTAGAGAAATAACAGCAGGTTTGATCAGCTTCAGCTGTTAAAGTTATGTGGTACTTAAATGCTTCATTCAAGCTAAACATTAAGGTCATTAGAAGAATCTGTTGAAAACACTGTTATGAAGCAGCAAACCGAGTGTTGTGCCTACCAGACTATTACTCTTAACTGTTTCAGATGTAGCATTAAGTGCATAGGAAGAAACAGAGTGGAAAAACTCTTGCTTAATTAACATCTGAAAGTCAAAGACAGTGCCTCCAAAATGAAATATATCACTCAGATTCCAGCAGACTAGCCAAAACTATGGTGGTGGGGGGAAAAAAAGAACAATTAAGATTACAAACCTAGTATACTTATATTGAAATTGCTGCCTTTTTTTTTTTTAAGAAATTTAAATAGTACACAGTAAATTAGATGTGATTTCTGGCAAATTATGCTTTGATACCGCATTCAGCAAGCGCTGGCTTCAATCAATGTCACAGCACAGCTCTGTTATGCTAATAGCCGCTCGGGAGGCTGAGCGGGATGATATGGAAATCAGATGGTTGAACATGAATAGAAAGCACAGGCCACGTACGAGGGGGCTGTGAGATGAGGGGATGGGGGGACCCGAAGGTTAATCACATCATGTTCAGAACTGTTTTTACAGCACAGAACAGTATTTGGCTGCAAGAATTAAAATGGAGATAGAAAAGCACGAGCGGTAGTGAGCTTTAGTCATGTTGTTCAAAACGGGAAGAGTGCATTCTGCTGCACTCTTTCTGGGATTGTTGGTTTATGCATAACTGAATGGATCTGTTATTCTGTTAATAAATGTATGTGAAGGTAGCCTCTGCTCCAGTGTTAAAGAGCTTCATGAAAAAAAAAAACCAAAACCAGACACTTCAAATTGTTTCAAAGGGATTTCTCAACTCTTCTTCAATCTTAATAATTAGCAAAACCTCTAATCTGATGGGATGGATTGCATGCATTTCTTTCCCAGTACTGTTACTGAATACTAAAGGTTACACTGAGCCAATAAGAGCTGATAAAGCTGTTGATGTAGAGAAGCTTGACTGAGACAGTGAGTTCATCCCTCTTAGGTGAACTCTGGTCATCTGATAAGAAATGTGGCAGACAACTCAGAAGGAGAGGGGAAAATTACCAGATAAAAATGTGAATTTATAGCAAAAAGTACATTGATCCCATATCAAGCACTAGCAACATTTTCTTCCAGTGACGTGGTTTTCTCAGCAGACCCTGTGATTTGTGCTTCACGCTGAATTCAATGATCCTAAGGGAATTTTATTATCATAGCTTG